GTTGCTTTTGGAGTGGGAGAGCCGGTCGGACTGGCATTTGCTGTCGTATTTGGCTGGGAGCTAGGGTTCGTACCTGTTTTAACACAAAGAAATACGTTCAACAACTGTTTGTTGCTAAATTAATTGGTAAAAAGTCTGTCTTAAAAATAGTAATCCAAAGGTTGGATTGAAGTGCACAAGAAGAGCCCCCTGTTATGGCCACAAATGATTTTATATATAACCAATAAAATAAACATCTTACATTTCTTGCAAATCTCCATCACTCCGACAACTGGCAACTTTATTTAGGGATTAGCAACCCTCAAAACTCGGTCCAAACCTTCAAGTCAATGTACAGGACAAAAAAGAAAAGGACTCCAGTGCCCAGCACTTCCCAGAGTCTTGATCACGGCAGCGATCAAACAACTAACGGAAGAGGGGGTGCTAAGAATCCCTGGGTAAGACCCGGCTGCCACAAGATGACAATTTGGCTATGCTCCTACAATATTCGAATACTGACGGACGACAATAGATTCCAGAAATAGAAAGTGAACTAAAGGATATAAAATGGGATATCCTTGGTATATGCGAGACCAGAAGAAAAAAGTGATGAGTATATAATACTAAAAAATGGCACACATTTTATGCATAAAGGTGGCGAATACACTGGAGTGGGATTCTTGGTAAAACAAAAGCCTCACACAGTGTATCGAAGAATTCAAGCCCATATCAGACAGAGTAGCATATTCTCATCATCAGGATTAATAAAAGAACCACTATGAAAGTGATCCAAGTGTACGCTCCGACCAAAAGCCACGACGATGAAGAAGTAGAAATACTATTAGGAGATTTTAATGCTAAATTGGGCAAAAAAGAGGAAGATTATGAACATTTAATTGGTAACTATGGCTACGGGAAAAGAAACGATAGAGGAGAAATGCTTCTCAATTTCATGAATGAACATAACATGTACTCAATGAACTCCTTTTTCAATAAAAAACCAAGCAGAAAATGGACATGGATGAGTCCCGATAAAAAGACAAAGAATGAAATAGATTATATCTTAACGAAGAATAGAAACCTAGTAAAAGACATATCAGTATTAAATCAGTTTGACCTAGGAAGCGATCATAGACTAATAAGAACAAAACTAGTAATTAACAAAAAACTAGAAAGAAAAAGAATACATGAAAAAAGATACAAATGGACATCTGAAGAAATCAAAAATAGTGAATTTAATAAAAAGATAGTGCATGCATTAAATCAAGTTAGCATGCAGCAGATAAACTCCAATGATATTGATGATTTGAATAACCTTATTACCGAAACAGTGAATAAAAGCCTTCTGCAACTGAAAAAAACCGAAAACAACATACAATGAATTAGACAAAGAAATATTACAACAAATAGAAAGAAGGAAGATCTTAAATAAATCTAACAAAAGGGGAACCGACGAATATAGAGAACTTAATAGGCAGATTAGAAAAGGAATCAGACAACAAAAAAGAAAAGAAAACGAAAAATTAATAACAACAACTATTGAAAAAAATAAGAGTATGAAATGTCTCAGACCGACACTAGGACGACGTCAGATGATATCATTAATAGGAAAAGACGAAAATGAAATCACAAGTAGAGAAAACATACTGACACGAATAGAAGAATTTTACACAGAACTTTACAGATCACATCAACAAGATGATGAGATGAGACCAGCACGGAAATTAATAAAAAATGTTGGATCAGAAATAATGCCAAAAGTAACAATTTCAGAGGTAACTACAGCATTGGAAAACATGAAGAGAAATAAAGCTGCAGGAGAAGATAGTATTACCACAGATATGATATTAGAAGGAGGTAAGGAACTAATTGCAATTGTAACTAAGCTTGTGGACAGTTGTTTACATCAGGGCAAAGTCCCTAAGAGCTGGAACAACTCTAAAGTAATCTTATTGCACAAGAAAGGTGATAGTCGAAAATTGGAAAACTACAGACCCATCAGCCTACTGTCACACCTGTTTAAAATACTCACCAAAGTCATAACTACTCGACTAACAAGGAAATTAGACGAATACCAACCATATGAACAGGCAGGTTTTAGAAAAGGCTATTCAACTTCCGATCACCTGTTAACCACAAAAATATTAATAGAAAAATGTAACGAATACAAGTTTCCAGTTTTCCTTGCATTTGTAGACTACGAAAAAGCTTTCGATACCATAGAACACACGGCCGTAATAAACGCAATGCAAAATTGTAGAATAGACAGCAGATATATTAACTTAATAAAAGAAACTATGAACCAAGCTACAGCTACATACTACCTAAATGAAAATGAACACACGAACCCTGTACCATTAAACAGGGGAGTCAAACAGGGAGATACTTTATCACCCAAACTGTTCACCTTAGTTTTGGAGGACGTTTTTAAAAACCTAAATTGGAAATATAAGGGAATAAACATCAATGGCCGCTACCTCAGTAATCTACGATTTGCAGATGACATAATCCTGATAGCTACTGACCTACAAGAAATGCAAACCATGCTTGTAGAACTTCATACCGAATCTTCTAAAATAGGACTGAAAATGAATTTAAACAAAACAAAAGTCATGCACTCCCGAAGACACCGTGACAATAATAAACGATAAAGTTATGGAAAAAGTTGAAGAATATATATACTTGGGACAAAAAATAATCCTAAATAGGAAAATTCAGACTGAAGAAATAAAAAGAAGAAGAAAGTTAGCTTGGGCAGCATTCGGTAAACTGAACTATATACTCAGAAATCAACAAATTCAATTACATCTTAGATCTAAAGTTTTTGATGCATGCATTATTCCGATATTAACTTATGCGGCACAAAACATGGACAATCACAAAAAAGAATATGAATATACTTAGAGTCACTCAACACGCGATGGAAAGAGCAATGCTAGGTATATCACTTAAGGACAAGAAAACAAACACATGGATAAGACAGAAAACCAAAGTCACCGATGTGGTGCAAAAAGCATTAAAGTTGAAATGGGAATACGCTGGACATGTAGCTAGGAGCGATCTAAACAAATGGCACAGATCAATTTTAACCTGGAGACCATACCAACACAAAAGACCCAGAGGCAGACCTCCTATGAGATGGACAGATGATCTGAAAAGGACTGCCGGGAAAAATTGGCTACAAGTAGCGTACAATAAAAAACAATGGAAAGGAAGACTTGAAGAGGCTTATGTTCAGATGTGGACGTGAATGGCTAGACGAAGAAGAAGAAGAACCCTCAAAATATCTTTGTATTCTATTCTGCGTCAACCTTTATACCTGGTGGTCATACTCAATTTAAAATTGTTTTTCTATATACTTCTGTAAACTTGTTGACAAATATCTAGTTTTTCATTGAGTCACCCGTATCAACAGTTTGGGGATTTGCATACATATGTGCCATCAATATGATGGAAATGGACTATAAATTATAATAACAAAATGTTTACTCACTTGCACAGGTTGTCTAATCAATCCAGCTCTGACTTGCTGTCCATTAGGATAGACAGGATGTAAGGCCGGCGGCTGTGACGAAGACACTATCACATTATTTGCTATCGGTTGTCGAATGGACGTGACCATCCTAGTTTGTTGTGCGGGCGCCCTGATCGGAGTCACCAGACGCTGTTGGATGACTTGGCCGGGCCGCACCACCGTAGTACCCGGGGTAACTATCCTTACTTGGTTGGCTTGTATGCCGGTCGGCCTGATGGTTTGCACCGTAGGGGTGGCCCCCGCTAGCGAGAACACCACGTTCGGCGGCGGAGGCCGGATGCCGTCTATACTAAGTTCTTGCGTGGCTAGAGAATGCCGCAGAAGGGGCAAACTTTTCTAAAAGACAAAAAATTATCTTAGATATTTCACTTAGACAATCTTGACAGAAATAACTAAATGCCAAAGTAATATGTACAAAAATAAAATGTGTACGTGTCATCGCTGTAAGACAAATTTTTGCGATGTTTGCATAGTTTATATTATTTTTTTTAATAAACTGTCTAAAATTGCCTAAATTTTATTTTCAAAACAAAAATTTTGTACCAAACTGAAAAAAATTGTCTACGCCGCTGTTTATCTGATGTTTTCCTTACCTTCAGAAATCCTATGAGGCACGGTTGTGGGGAAGCATTCAATAATCGTTCTAATTTGTCACAGAAATCTTCGGTTCCACCTTGTTGTCGATGAGTTCTTGGATAAGCTGTCGGACGTTTCTTTCTACAGATTTAGGTTCTCGACTGGATAGTTCTAACAAATTGGCGAGGAATTTTCTACATTTTTCTTTGGTATTGTCATTTGCAGGTCGCTGAAATCATTGAAATGAAGACTATTTTTAAACAATTCCGAAAAGTATAAAGTATGTGGAATGCTGATTTTAAACGAAATAATACAGATATCATTGTGGCATGTTAATTTCTCTTGAATTTCTTGAATTTAAAACTTTTAACCACACTGTATTTGAGGAGTTTACTGTAAGATGGTGCAGCTCCATATTTAGACCGTTTTATGTGGAAACATATGCCATAATTAAAAAAAAATTGGCGGATTGACTGATATAAGAACGTATCTCTTTAAAAAAAAACAACACATTGAACCTGTTGTCAACATGGAGCCCACAGAAGAATCCTCAGTTGTTCCTGTAACCAAAAATAGAAAAAGTGCCAAAAAACTCCACTCTCTGGAAAAGATATATGAAAAAAAAAGCTATTGCAGAAGGGAAAATGTATACGAACTGGAAAGGAATACAGAAGGGACCGAGATTAACTGGATCGAACTGGAATTGCAGGTACAAGTGTTTTCAGAATGTGGACGAAGAAACAAGAAAAGTTGTCTTTCAAAAGTTTAACAAAATAGGCGACAAAGATTTGCAAAATACCTATTTAGGAGGATTGATTCAAACTACTACTATTCAAAGAACTCGAAAAAAAACTAATGAAAGGCAAGACCGCACTTGTTCCCACAAATACTTTATAAAGCTGGAAAGCTATCCAAACGAGTTTGTAGACATGCTTTTGGTTCAATCCACGGCATATCAAGAAAACGTGTAGATCTCATTGCTCAAACTTTTCGTGACAGATATATTGCAGCGCCACCTAGTAACAAAGGTAAAGCATACAAATAGACTCAACCGAAAATCGAACGAAACACTCAAAAATGTGATCATGACATCCAGAGCTTTCCAAGGCGTGAATCGCATTATAGTAGAAACAAATCCCGTCGATTCTATTTATCTCCAGATCTAAATGTAAGAAGATGCATCAACTCTATTTGGAACTTTACGAACCAGAAAGTGTTAGCAATGCTAAATATAAGCCCAAAGATCCCTATGACTTATACTATCGATACTTCAGAAACTTAACTACAGGTTTGGCTCACCTCGATCAGATATGTGCAAATAATGTGATGTCTTAGATAACAAACTCAAAGATGTGATCCTCGACGAAAATGAACAAAAAGTTTTAGCTGCGGAAAAAAGTTGCATGAAATTAAGGCCGATTTGTTTTTCAAGGAGCTGAAGGAGAAAACCATGTGCAAGCATAGCGACGAAGTGGAGGTTCTGACCTTAGACTTCCAACAAAATCTTCCACTTCCAAAAATTCCTGCTGGAAAAGCTTTCTACAAACGCTAGTTGTGAACATACAACTTCTGCGTCCATTCGGGTAAGAACAAATCAAGCATCACTTTTATATGTATCATGAAACTATGGCTCGAAATCACCAAACGAGCTATATAATGAATATCTATAACTGTTCCCTATTCGTAATAAGTTCCCTTCAATGGTGCTATAACCAAGTTCCACTTGAGAACTTAATTAGCCATAATTAAAATTTAATGTGGTAAGATATTCTCATGTGAACGAAAACCACCCCTTTTTAATTAGCTTTGGGGAGGTTATAAAAGAAATGCCAGGTCCAATTTCATTATCAGTTCTTAGCTGACTATCGAAAATGGCCTATGATGTTTATATGCATAGCCAATGAGAACAAATATGAATGAGTATATTATTCCATTTTACTTTACTTTATAACTTAAGACTCGTTTACACGGGTAGAGTAATGATGCAAGTACTTGGGAGAGTAGAGTAACTCTACCCGTAAAAACGCTCAGCGCAGTAGAGTAGCAAGTAGAGTGCATAGTAGGTAGTAGAGTAGAGTGACTAGCAACATGTGGCAAAGTAACTCTACTCTACTACCACCACCACCGCCAAAATGTCCACTCGCCTGCGCACTCTACCCATGGAACGCGGTCAATTCTGGTAGAGTAGAGTAGGTAGGAGAGTGTATAGGGATGCTCTCATTTCGGCTGGAGTTGTGTTTTGTGTAAATAGTGAAAATTAAGTTTAACGAAGATGAAACTTTAAGACTTATAGAGATGTATGGCGAATACCAGTATTTATGGAATGTAGGTAGTGTTCTTCTTCTTCAGTGCCCTATCCGGTCCGGATGTTGGCGATCATCAAGGCTATCATGGTTTTGTTGACTGCTCTGCGAAACAGCTCCGCTGAGGTCATCCCAAAACCATTGTCGGAGATTTTTCAACCACGAGATGCGACGGCGTCCCGGTCTTCTTCTGCCAAATACTTAGGTAGTGTACACTACAGAAATGAAAGTATGAGGCAAACTGTGGAGATGGCATCGCATACCTCGGGGACCAACTTTGAAATTGCAGGTCTTGACACCGTAAAAAAATTAAAAAGGCTTCGATAGCTGTTTTCTGTAGCTAAAATATTCAACATAATCTCAAGCTTCACTCTTCGTTTTATTGCATCCCTCATAAACGTGTCTTGTCGTTCGATTTTGCGATGCAGCATATACAGAAGTTCTTCAAGTTTTCCTGGGATCATCCTTAGACACATCTTATATTCCAGGCTAGTTCTCTTAGCAGAAGAGCTGAGGCCCCGTATGTATTCATCCTCCATCATCGATAGCTTCAGCGACTTTAGTTACAAATGCATTTGCAACTGTAGCTAAAGAATTTTAAATCAATTTTCTTTTTCTTGAATTAATTTTGCACTAAACAAACACTCAGTCCACAATATACTAGCATCAGTACTATACTTGTAACTCTCCTCGTGTGAACAGTATCAAGCCATTTTTGGTAGAGTAGCGAGTAGAGTCAACTCTACTCGCTACTCTACTCTCCTCACAACTCTACCCGTGTAAACAAGTCTTAACTTTATTTAGCTCAAAAACTCACTTAATTAAAAATATCACAAATTTTAATCACATTAATAATTATCGCTTACAATTCGCACTGATATCGCTTACAAAACAATTCGCCAATACTAATAATTAGACTTCGACAAATATGCATATTGCATTATTTTGCATATTGTGCACATTTTATGCAAATATTTCATATTTTGGCATATTTGTATAAAAGTTTCCTTAAAGTGCATAAAAGTTCAGATTTTTATACTGTATTTGAAAATTTTTAAACATACCAATTTATTTCAATTCTTGTATAAAATTTTGTAGTCATTTTAATCAAGAAATGATCTAAGTACGTAATCTCTACAGGTACAAAACATTTACAATTTCAAAGAAGATCAATTTAAGTAGCCCTCAACATTCTTAGAAAGTCTCGGTCACTGCGGCATTCAATTATTGGATAATCGCTAAGGGTTCGCTCATTTGCATTTTATGATCTAATCCCCAAATCTATCTACAATTTATTGTATCTTAACAGCAGGTAAACGGCTAATAGTTTTGTTCCTAATTTAGGGATTTTCCAAAATCTCCCAGTTTATTGAATTAGGTACCTAAACATTTCTTATTTTGATATTCAAAGCGTAAACACTCGTTGTGCGTAACAAAAGGAAGATTGTGATTTTATAATGCCTAAAAACAACCAGTGCTTCAACTTGGATTAAACCTTATAAAGAGCTGTCTATGGATATGGGAAAAATCTACTGTTCAGTCTGTGGCAAAATTGTAAGTATCTAATATTTTCTATTAAATATCTAATATTTCATACATACAGGGTGTTTCCAAATGACACTTACAACGTTTGACTGTAGATACTTCTCGAAAAATTGAACAAAACGATATAGTTAATGAGGGGTCAAACTTATTTACTTTTCGAGATACAGGGGGTTAAAATTAAAAAAAATTAAATTCTTTTAGTTAATAACAACAATAACTTTAAAACCAATAAACGTATTTACTTGAAATTTAGTACTCGTAGGTTGTTTTTAAATGAAAAATAGCTTCCTTTAGTGAGAAAAAATTGTCCATGGTACAATACAATGGTGTATATTTAGAAAAAATTGTTCACCTTTACTTTTTTTTATGAAGTCAGCTATTCTAAAACACAATTATTTTTATTCTAATTGAATTAACAAAAAAAAAACTTTTGTTGAATTTTAAAATAAGTTATATGATGTACTAATGGTTAGTAACAAAAACTAATTTGTGGATTAATACTGCATTTAAAACACTTATGAGAGTGTTTTTAATTATATAGATAGCATGTGAGAAGAAATTTCAGATAGACCAACATGTGGACAACTGCTTCACACATTGCAAAAAAAGGAAAAATAGGAGGAAAACATCAAACTTCTATGGCTAATGTTTCCAATCTACTTCAAAAAAATTAGTTGAACAAGAAACTTTTAATGAAGACTTGTGTCGCGCATTAGTTTCTGCAAACATACCGCTTTCAAAATTAGCAAATGTAAATTTTAGTTCGTTTCTAAAAAAATATTGCAAACTTAATGTTCCAAGTGATCAACTTGAGAAAACAAATGCTTTAACAATTTCGCGTTTTATACAAGAAACATTAGCAACTTTTTTTCTTCCGACAACTATTCCTTCTAATAAATTACTGCTTATTTTATCGGATGCTGCTCCTTATATGGTGAAAGCAGGACAAAATTTAAAAATATTTTTCCCAGATTTAATACATGTTACTTGTGTAGCGCATGGATTAAACAGAGTTGCAGAGGAAATACGAAAAAGTTTCCTCTTGTAAATACCATGATATCCAGTGTCAAAAAAGTATTTCTTAAATCTCCTATAAGAATTCAACTTTATAAAGAAATGCTACCTAACATTCCTCTTCCACCACAACCTATTTTAACGCGATGGGGAACATGGTTAAAAGCAGCTAATTTTTATGCAGATCATTTTGTTAAAATAAAGAACATATTGATACGTTAACAGATGAAAGTTCCCAATCTCTTTTGGATTCTAAACAAACTTTTCAGAGTAACTTGCTTCAACAAGAACTTTCATTTATAAAATCAAATTTTAGTTTTGTTCAAAAAACAATTACTCAGAATCACCAAAACTGTCATTGTTCGAAAGTACAGCATTAATAAAGAATTTGCGTCATGTTGTCGGAACGTTAGAGGTAATATTGGAAAAGATATTTTAAAAAAATTTGAAGCTACTATGGAAAAAAATAAAGGTTACCATATTCTTTCTGAAGTAGTCAGTGTTCTAGATGGAAATATTTCGGAAACAATTAATTTAGAACCAAATGTTTTAGTTAGTTTGAAAAATGCTCCCGTTACATCAGTTGATGTTGAACGAAGTTTTTCCATATATAAATATATGTACTCAGACAGAAGCCACAAGTTTTTGTTAGAAAATTTTGAACACCACTTGGTCATTTATTGTTACCATAATTCTAAATAAGTTTATTCATACTTAAAAATGATGTAGTTACTTAAAATAAATGTAAATCTTAATGAATAGTAGGAAATATTTAGTTATGTACACTTTTTTTTTTAATAAAATTGTTACTATTTTACGATTTTTTATTTATTTGTATGCATATTTTGTAAAATATTTGCATATTTTCGGGTAAACAAGTGCATATTTATGCGCATATTTTCTACATTTTTATTTGCATATTTGCCGAAGTCTACTAATAATTAATCAAAGGCCGTCTCAGCGGGCTTATATAAAGATAACTACACGTTCTGGAAAACGCTGAAACATATCCGCATAGATAGAGTCAGTGCGTGGAATATTCGGCGATGAGAGAGAATTCTCGACTAAGTTAAACCACACGGCAATCAAGGGTGACACAACAATATGATAAAATTTTTAGGAAAATCTAACAGTCGTTTGATAAAAAGAATAAAATAAAAGTAAACCTGATTTGACTTACCTGAACCTGCACTTGCACCTGTCCAACTTGTCCTTGATGAACAACCGGTTGCGCAGCAGACGTTACTGTTGTCGTAGCACCGGCCTGAACTGGATTGGTTGCAGCAGTACTCTATATATAAAACAAAAACATTAATACAAAACAAATAACTATTATAGATGCATAAACTGTGCATTCCCTTAGAAGATGTAGCTGTTTTTCACTTAAAAGTAATTTTTCAGCAATGGATAAACACATTTTTGTTTTATTTTCGCTGGTGTGTGTCTCTCTACTAGTATAGTTATATAAAGAAGACAGTACAGAAAAAAGAACAGAAGGAAAGGCGGCCAACTCAGGCAGGGCGCCCAAGTATAAGCTAGCAAGGAGAGTGAAAGTGGCAAAAATTTGGTGTCGCCTACAAAATGCTTTGGTGTGTAGCGTGAGGAGAGAGAAGCAAATTGTAGATGTCTAAAATTCTGCATAACTGAAGCTGGTGGCATTCCTGCTCTTACTAAAAAATGGTTACATTTCCTTGGGCGGCTAGCTGGATTAGGTGACTAGATATAATATTTGGATAATGCCTGGAAGTGAGATGGAATAGATGGTTATATGTTTACAATATAACGAGCGACAGTTTCATCATTGCAAGGTTTCGAAAAGATAGATTTTAAAATTCTGTAACTATTAAATAGTTACTAATATTAATTTCTTCCTAAACTTGGCAACAGTATATAATAATAATTCCGTCATGTCGTTAAGTTTGTTTGTTTTAAAACAATTTAGTAGTTTTGTCAAAGTTTCAGATAAAAGTTTCCAAATTTGAGCTTTTCTGGTTTCCCAGTTGACTCCACAAAATTCTTGTGCTTAGTGTATATTCTATATAATTGCCTGAAAAATTATGTACCTAAAAAGAGTAAAAGTACTTACCGCTTGTACAGTTTGCATCCTAAAGGTAACCGCTGCCTGCAGCCTGGGAGGAATTAATGCCTGCAGGTGGGGCAGGTCCGAGTCTGAGCAGCTGGTACTGTCCATTTTCAGTCTTGAATCAGCAACGTCCCCTGTTGACCGGGTTGCAAACCATGAAAGCTTTGTAACGTTAATTGCTAAAACATGGACATACACACCTTTAGACAGACACCCCGAAACGAACTCTGAAACGTAGGAAAAATCTACGAAAGATCAGAGTAGCTAAAGCATGCCCCAAAAGCTATAGAATCAGGACCTGATTGACAGTAACATTTTTTTTATGTTGTGTTTAAAAACAGGTCCTGGCAAAAAGCGTACAGCTACCTAGCACACGAATCAAATAATCTACTAAAACACTTTCAGTCTGAGATGGATATTTCTATAGTCTATATGGTCTAATAATTAGTGATCTAATTGACACATTAAGCATGTAGGCTTGATTGGCCATATTAATATTGCACAGATTTTATTTGGGTTACAACCACAGTTGTCCAGTTCATTGGTTAATTGCTTCAAAACCCCTGGCATGGTTGAACAGTTATAAACTATGTTTCTAACAGTACTGAAGAGGTTTTGTTGTAGAATAGTACAGTGGTAGAATGTACATTTAAAATTTTACTACAAACTGCTGTACTATTAAATGAGACTTTCATTTCAGAGGACTAAAAGTAGACATATATGCCACTTCTATGTTACATATACAATGTACTATACTATGGAGTGGAATCTTGGATGTTAAATTTAGACACAATGAGATAACTTAACGCCTTTGAAATGTGGACCTATAGAAGAATTATGAGGGTTTCCTGGGTAGATAGAGTTACGAACAATGAAGTACTGAGAAGAATAGATAAAGAGAAGGAAGTTGAACTTACAATTAAAGAAAGAAAGCTACAGTATCTCAGACAAGTGATGTGGGGCGAGAAGTATGGCATCCTGCTATTCATAATGCAAGGAAAGATAGATAGCGGAAGAAGCATCGGAAGAAGATGAATTTCATTGCTCAAGAACCTGAGAGAATGGTTTGGATGCAGCTCAAAACAACTATTTACAGCTACTGTCTCAAAAATTAAAATAGCTATGATGATTGCCAACCTCCGTAGCAGAGATGGCACCTGAAGAAGAAGCCACTTCTATAGCATCTATTCAGCTACTATTCCTTTTTGTCACTATTGGACAAACCTGACATTTCTGTGCATGATTTTGAAAGGTCTGAACAGTATGAATATAAATCTTTGAATTTGAAAATACTTTGAATGTCAATTGGAAACTTTAATCTTATCTTAGCATCTAGATACCCACATTATTGGTCTACACACTATTGAACTACTATTGAAACTGCCCCAAAAGCTATAGAATCAGGACCTGATTGACAGGTAACATTTTTTATGTTGCATTTAAAAAACAGGTCCTGGCAAAAAGCGTACAGCTACCTAGCACACGAATCAAATAATCTACTAAAACACTTTCAGTCTGAGATGGATATTTCTATAGTCTATATGGTCTAATAATTAGTGATCTAATTGACACATTAAGCATGTAGGCTTGATTGGCCATATTAATATTGCACAGATTTTATTTGGGTTACAACCACAGTTGTCCAGTTCATTGGTTAATTGCTTCAAAACCCCTGGCATGGTTGAACAATTATAAACTATGCTTCTAACAGTACTGAAGAGGTTTTGTGTGAATATACAGTGAATTACTTAAAATTTACACAACTGCTGTACTATTAAATGAGACTTTCATTTCAGAGGACTAAAATTAGACATATATGCCACTTCTATGTTACATATACAATGTACTATACTATGGAGTGGAATCTTGGACGTTAAATTTAAACACAATGAGACAACTTAACGCCTTTGAAATGTGGACCTATAGAAGAATTATGAGGGTTTCCTGGGTAGATAGAGTTAAGAACAATGAAGTACTGAGAAGAATAGATAAAGAGAAGGAAGTTAAACTTACAATTAAAGAAAGAAAGCTACAGTATCTCGGATATGTAATGAGGGGCGAGAAGTATGGCATCCTGCGATTCATAATGCAAGGAAAGATAGATGGCAGAAGAAGCATCGGAAGAAGACGAATTTCATTGCTTAAGAACCTGAGAGAATGGTTTGGATGCAGCTCAAAACAACTATTTAGAGCTACTGCCTCAAAAATTAAATAGCTATGATGATTGCCAACCTCCGTAGCAGAGATGGCACCTGAAGAAGAAGAAGCCACTTCTATAGCATCTATTCAGCTACTATTCCTTTTTGTCACTATTGGGACAAACCTGACAATTCTGTACATTATTTTGAAAGGTCTGAACAGTATGAATGTAAATCTTAATTGAAATATTTGACAAAGAAAACTTTTATGTCAATTGGAAACTTTAATCTTATCTTAGCATCTAGATACCCACATTATTGGTCTACACACTATTGAACTACTATTGAAATTACTTCAGCATTTAAGACAACAATATATCAAACAATTTTAAAATTATTTGTCACTGGTTTATGACAGTATGTTTAAGATTATCAGCTGGGTCATAAAAACTGCGATATTAGTAATTTTCAAATGAAGTATAAAAAGATACGAGGAAAACAAACAACAGGCCAACCAAAGATAAGGCTGTATTGAATCAAAAGATGAAAACTGTGAAGCTTAGACAGTCTACACCAAAAGTATCGATTATATTAAGTAGAGAGTCAAGAAGAGTACTGACTGCATCTTAAGAATAAGAACATCACTCAATGGACCAATATTACTGGTAGAGTTAATTGATAAACATACATGCTTAACGTTTTAATATAAAGAATGTGACACAAAAACTGGTATATGTAGTCACATTATAATTTTTAATTGCTTATTTTTTATGAACGGTTAAAATTTATGAAATCCTTTCTATGTGGCTATTCAACAAAACATAAAAGTTAAATTTTAAAATAAATACAATGATGTGGGTATACATTCAGCAGTACGCACCTATATTAAACTATTAAGTACACTTTGTTATATTTCAGTATGAGTGTAGTTTGAGATTAAACTTGCTATGAATTGCCCTATCACTATCCCAGAAATCATCAACAAAATTCATTAGATGATGGCATAGTGTAGAAACCAAATTCCTATGACAGATGAAGCTCTAAGCACATCAGTAGAGTGTGTTTATAACAATTATCATCATCAGTAGCTTGACAACCCTTTCTAGATCCTGGCTTGTTCTAGGATTTTCCGCCATTCTGTTCTGTTCCTTGCTTTGTTTTACCAGTTGGTAATCTTAAGTGTTTTCAGATCTTGTTCCACTTGTTCCAATCAGAATTGCTAGGTTCCGAAGACTTTGATTGGCTAGATAACAAAATTCAGAGCAGAGAAGACCAAAAAGAGATCAAATATAAAATGTGCAATGAAACAACATGAGTGGCCAACATGAGTTGAGACCCTGCATGAGTTTCAGAGACATTAGAATAAAAAGAACAAATTGTCTGATTGGATAATACTATGAAATTTAAAGAGAAGGATCAATTATTTGTTCTCAAATCTTTGTCCTGTAACATATTATACTGTAATAATTTAATATGCCGTAATAGTTTATTGAAGCATTCACTCAATATCATGCAAAAGTGTGCACATTCAAAAAAAACCATCACCGTTAGTAAAAAATGAACAAAAAAAAAACAAATACAACCAGCAGTGTACAAAAATTTCTAATAAAAACATATGACAATAAAATCCTAATTTATCTAATATTTTCTAGATACTTGATTTGACAGTTTTTCATTAAATCACAAAAATTGGAATGTGTAAGAAATTACCCTAAATATAAAAGACAATAAATTATTAACTACCGAATATTACTTTCCTCTTGATTTAATAACTATTTAAATTATTTATTTTTACTTTTTCACTTTTAGTAAATTTCTATTTTGAATTTGAATACATTTTATTTATTTTAAATCAAGCAGATAAGCAGATGAAGCCGGTCCTGACCGTTTCCACGCTTGGTGACGCCCCTAGCGGAGTATAGTCATAACCTCGTTGACATTCGTAATTTTGTGTATAAATATTGAAAAAAAATTAACAAAAAGAAACAAATATTTAGTTCAATGTCAAAAATATTTGGTTAGAAAGTCTTTATAATTAATGCAGATGTTTAAATGAGAAAAATAACCTTGTAGGAGCCATGATTTATCTAAATATATAATTAAAAATGTTGATTTTGTCTCTGAATGATAAAGGATGAAATTACTTACCCCAAATAAAAATAATTTGTAACTAATTTTAGGGATAATTAAAAACACATTCCAATTACTTTTATATACTTTAAAGATACCAAAACGTTTTGTTTAGAGTAAAATAATTTTCTTTTTATCACTTGCTGTTCAATGCAGCCACCTGCAACTGTTTTACTTTAAATTGCACTGTCAAAAAAGTGAAAATACAACACAACAAATCTAAAGTGCTTCAAATAGGAAGGCCTTTGATTAGAGCTAGTTAAAAAGCGATGACCATTAGTAAGATGTATCAAAAATTGATGGAACAAATCCAAAATCCTTAAAAACACATTTTTTTGTCATTTCGATCAACTGGTATGCTGAAAAATGCAATCAATATGAATATTGTATTTTTAAACTAGTGATCAAGCAACAATTATTTAAAAATCTGTGGTCTTAATTAGGAATATAACAAATAAATGATTAAAAACAATTTTTTTTATAGTTTTTTTGTTTGTTATGTGGCTTAGGTATGTTAGTTTACATTAAAGTAAAATTTTAGAATGAGTGAAAGTATTGTATTTCTTAAAAAAAATAACTGGTAATGATTGCAGTAAGGATATATTAAAAAGTGGATCAATATTCTAAAGAACAGTCCAAAATAACTAATCGTTACTAGAAAAAATTGAGTGTAAAATAGTTTCACTGATCCTCATGGTTGACAAGTGTACTAGTTTTGTTAACTAACTATAGAAATAGTAGTGTGTTACTAATTTTAGTAAAGTAATAATAGTTTTCCCTGCAACAAGTGCTAGAAGAAGGAATTAATATTATATTAAGCTGTGGTATTGTATTTATGACTTACTGAAGCTATTACTGCATTAGATTTAGATTAATGAAGCAAAAAAGGAGATGAGGACAATAAGAAAAAAGATTCTTGGTAATACTTAGATAATACTGGCTTCAAGAATAGAAAATCTTCCAGATTTTAGGGCATAACATACAGTCGGATAGTTACAGCAATATTTTGATATCAATATGTACAGAAAGATCGGAAACTGGTTTTAATATGGCTTAATAAAGAAAGAAAATATTATGATATCAATATGAAGAGAAAGAATGGAAACTGGTTGGAATGTGGCTTAATAAAGAAAGAAAATCTTGCACAATAACACTCAACTGTAGCTGTAATGTAAACATTCTGTACCTAAAATATTTGTGTACAGATCTATGTAATTTTTGTATCTTGGAATAATTTAAAAAACTCTCTTAACAATCTCTTTTGAAAGATTTTTTTATATGATTTAACTACAATTATCAATCAGTAAAAACAGATTAGTCTAGCATTAAGAGATTATGTATATCAAAAAGCTGTTTGCACTTTTTTTAAATATATCATTCAATTAAAGAACTCAATAGGCCAGAAAATAGTAGTGAATATGAGAGGTTATTGTTTAGTTGACAGTGACCATTGTCATTGTTTTGTTTATATGAACTACACCTGTTTTGAGGTTAGGTTTGTCATTGGTAAACATTCTTTGTGAGATATGTACAACAATAAGATCACTTTTTAAAAAACAAATTTGAATAAATTAAATTGATTAGAAAAGCTGAATTTTGAGGTTTTATCAAAAAGTTGTATGATTTTGGAGGATATTTGAATTTGTTTCACCAACAGAGGTAGCAGGATATATAGCATGCCTTCCCATTTGAGCTTGTATACTTCACTTACTGGAGTCCCAGGTCGGGCCCCGACTAATTGAGGTGCGCTTAGCACTACACGAGCTGGTTGCCCTTTCTGCTGCTGAGTAGGAACTCCAGGGCGCACATTGACTACCTGGAGGTTGGAAAGGATATTGGGGGATTGAGTGCTAGGGCTACCTACGTTATTAGCCTGGCCCATCGATGAGGCTACATTCATAGGTACAGTCATGAGTCCAGTGGCCCCGGGAGCACCGCTGGATTTCAGAACCAGCGTGGGTTGTTTGTTTTGAATAGTTTGTACATTGGTAGGAGTAGTCTGGAGGACTGTCTGGGGAGGCAGGCCTCCTATCGTGCCGTTTGGAAGAGTGACTCTGGTCTGAATAATGGTCCCAGAATTGGACATGACTTGGTTGCCTTGTGAGTACACGAGTTTTACACCGTCGGAGGGTTTGTTAGCATTCGAGTCTATCGCGACACTTTGGTTCACGTAAGAAGTCGTCACTGGTCCCCCCGTATTAGTACCTATTAACATCGCGTTGGCATTATTCACTTGTTTGTTTCCATCGTTAGCGTTTATAGCATTTACACCACTTATCGAATCACCATTGGCAATAGTCCCATGTTTCTGTGGGGCAACTGTCCCGCCGTTAGATATTGCACTGTTTACGTGGTTTTGATTAATCACGATGGCTGAGCCAGTCTGAGACGACGCTGGGGGTGTTGATGTGACGAGTTGATTCTCTAAGGAGCCTACGATCGCACTTACGGCCGATTCATCAACATCTGTACTCAGAGCTTCCTCGAGAAACTTAGCTGACGCCATTTTCCGAGACCCAACTGTGAAGCGGCGTTGCCGTTCCGATACACGTCAAAAATCATAAATATAGATAGATAACATGCCAAACACTTGTTCTAAAATGATAATGAGTGGTAATAGTTCCTAATTATTATCAAATCAACAAATACAATTTTAAACATGTCGTAAATACAACAAAACAATGAATATCTACAATATAAAAATACAATTGAAAAGTATTTGTGCTGGAAATGTTTGTGATATTGAAACAAATTATTTTATTTCATATTCATATCAAAAATTTCGCTATCTGTCTTTTGATTTCTTTTATCTCATTTTGGTGACATCCACTTATTTTAATGGCTTCCTTGCGTTTAATATATATGTATTTCCTAATTTTTTAGTTTAGTTCTTCATTTTTAATTATCTCCTATATTAATAAAAGTAAAAGTTAATGTACCTAATGTATTATAGTCCAACATAATAAAATGTTTTATAAGATTGGTAAGAAATAAATCGAAAAATAATAATTCAGCAATATACTATTTAAATTGACAGAATTAAGTGATTAAATTTAATTGATAACTAGTTATTCTCTCTAGATTTAAATAATATAAAACAAATTTATATTTACTTAAGAATAAAAACAACGAAAATCGACTGAATTGTAATTTATGAAATAAAATTAATTTTTGAATAAACTATATACCTAATCAATTATACCTAAAAACTGATTGTTACCGAGCTCGCGGCAACGCCGCTTTGGACAAAAGCCCGCATGGCGCATGATCTGTACTTTTTGCGTATGCGCTCCGGTTGTTGACAAAGCGAAGGCAGAAGAGCATATGAAACAAAATTTGAAATCGCGCCTCTTAAACCACTCAACTTGTTACAACTTTTCCACTTTCGGGGGCGAAAATGTTTTATAAGTCAGGGCAGTTTATCAAAATTTCAGCTCAGTTACCTTTACAAAGCTGAGTAGGATGTTTCGATCTTTGATTTCTGCTAGTCACAGCACATGCGATATGTCGGGACACGTCACCGCCCGCCAAATTCGATTTTTTCTACGTATTTCTTTGTTTCCTTTTTATGTTGCGTTAGGGTAATTAATAAACTCGTAGAAAGAGTTTTGCTTATGTCCGCAGTGATTATTAATTAATATTAGAGGTGTATAAGGTCCATAACGTAACAGAACCGTCTTTTGCAATAAGCTTTTGATATATTATTGTCAATGAATGATCTTCAATAGTCTTTGTTCTATTTAAATCTTAAATAATCTATAAGGGGAGCCACTAGAATAGGAAGGAAAATAAGAACTAAAAGGGCCAAGAAATATATGATACAAATTGAAAAGTGCAAGTAATGCAAGGAGTAGCGGAAAATGAACAGTGCAACAATAGTCCAAGCTCTAGAGACAAAAATTAATTATGTCGAGCATCAATTACTTTACTACTTAACTCTATTACTTAATTAATTAAAAATCTTACTCTATTATTTAATTTATTAAAAAAATTACTTTTGATTAAAATACACAAATGTGACTAAAGTTACTAAAAATCGCTTCGTCTTGATCCCAAAATGAATTCTGACCCTTTGAAGAGCCAAGAAACACCTGCTCAAAGCGTGGCAAGCGGTTATTCAGTCACTAAAATCGACGTTTTTTTTTCATTTTTTCGCGATTTTACCCGAAAATAGATTAAAAGATACCTCTATAGTTGGAACACACATACATATTAGGTACTAATCGCTTCGTCTTGATCCCCAGAATGAACAGTTAAGGTGCCAATTTTTGTAGAATTTCTCATATACGTGTGGGCTTATAAAAGTTAGTTATTTTCGCTTATTTTAGTGCAAACTTTTTTCCAACGAATAATTTTGTTTTTGTCGTGAGGTTCAGCCAAAGTTAACCTTTTTAAGCGAAAAATGTAATCAGATAAAAAACGCATAACATACTTCGTAGTGCATTTAGGAAAGTTGCTACTGTTTCGGACAGTTTGTTAGCTGAACCCGTGGAAACTCGACCCTGGCAGAAAATTAGCGTACAGTGAGAACTTTTACAAGTAAAGTACAATGAGCTTTGTGAATTGGAAAGTGAGGTACTTGAAAGTATATTGGAAGAAGCTTCCGAAAAAGATTTAATTAGTGAGATGGAGGCAAGAGATAAATATGGTGCAAGATACTTTGAACTTAAGTACAAATATGATGACAGGCCAGGTTCAGTAAGTTCAGAGTCAACAAGTATAAAAGGTAAGCGCAAATTTAAATTACCTCTATTATAATCAAGTTCAAGAAATTTAATGGAGACTTAAAATCCAAAAATTTGTGTAGATGTTATTTATGACGGCCCTTGGATTGAGGAACTCAGTGACATGAATATTTCACTCAGCGATGTCGGAAAGACAGCAGAAATTGAGATTTCGTTTGGAGCTGATATTGTAGGTAAATTGTATACAGGGAGGAAATATCAGTTACAGTGTGGTCTTGTAACAGTTGAAACTTTGTTAGTAATGAAACAAGTATGATTACATTTTCATTGTTTGTTGATAATTCTTCTGTAGTGAAACTCTGGGTGCGTGATGTTTATTGGGATAACCGACCCTGTAGAAAAAATGATACGAGCGGTGGCGGCAAAAGAGGCTAAGAATTCTTTCTACGTGACTGTACGATGTGACAGCGAAGGCAGGTATGAAGTTATGTTAAAATGTTATACCTTGGTTGAACGACATTTGAACGAGCATCTATAAATTTCAGGTAATTTAGTTGCCGCTAGAAGAAGGTTAGATAATACTTTAAATAAGTTGAAAAGGTCTAATTGTTTAAATCGTATAACTTTATATTGAATGAGTGGTTGAGGGTGTGATTGAAATAGTGAATATAAATCCCGAAGAGAATAGTGGCATGCATTATTTACCTCACAGGCCCGTTATTAAAAATAATAGTGAAATCACAAAAATTAGACCAGTCTTTGACGCATTATCTCATGAACAGGGTTGTCCTTATTTAAATCAGTGTTTGGAGGTAGGGTCTAATCTTATCTAACTTATTCCTTCTCTTCTATTACGATTCAGACAACAAAAGGTAGGAGTTGTGTCGGATATTCGGAAAGCTTTTCTTCAAATTTCTATACATTCAAAGGATATAGATTTTTTGAGGTTCCTATGGGTGAACGATGAAGGAAAGGAATTTGTATTTCGACACGAGAGGGTTATTTTTGGAGTCAATTGTAGTCCATTTCTTATGGGTGCCACTATAGAGTTTCATTTAACAAAGGCACTGGAGAAATGTTATAAAGATAATCCGTATTCTAAAAACACAGTTGAAAAGCTTATGACTGGGTTTTATGTGGATAATTGTGTAACCAGTGTTACTGGTGAAAATGAGTTGAGAGTATTTGAATCAGAAGCAACCGCCCTTATGAAGGAAGCTAAGACAGACTTAAGAGGGTGGGAGGCCTCTGGTAATACAAAAACAGTTGTCCCTGTTCTTGGTCTTCTCTGGGACTCTTCAAGAGATACTCTGAAAATCAATAGTGAAACTTTTCAAGGACTGGAATTGAAACGTCTCATAACTAAGAGACTGATGCTTTCCATAGCTCAGAGTATATTTGACCCAGTTGGTTTTACCTGTCTAGTATCCATGTTCCCCAAACTGTTGCTACAGACATTTTGGGAGAAGCGCCAGGTATTGAGATTCCACGCTGGATTCAGGCTGGACCCATGGAAGCTGATCATCGGAGCTTGCACATATTTTCAGATGCAAGTAAGAAAGCTTATGCATTACTGCATTATTTTTCTCAGTACATAAAACTTTTAAGAATGATAGCTTGGCCGCTAAGATTTTGTTGTAATGCAAGAAATTCGAACGAAAAACGTACAGGTAAATTGGCCGCTGAGGAAATCGATAAAGCGATTATATTTGTATTAAAGCTAGTGCGGAACGAAGCCTTCGATTCAAATACGAAACAAATTTCTTCGCTAAACGTTTGTCGATGAATTTGGACTTATACGTTTAAAAACTTGCGTTACTGAGAGACTTGACACGGAAGATTTTCGTCTGCCTATCTTTAGTTCCTGGTGAACATTTTATAGTACTTAAGTTAATTTTAAGCCTACACAAAAGCTCTTGTCATGTAGGCACACAAGGAATACTTAGTTTGGTTCGCGAAAAAGATTGAACTTTGGGGGGTGGACGGATTGTGCGGTCCATTTTAAAAGAATGTGGTGTGTGCAAGAGACAAGAAGGAAAATCGTTCGAAGTACAAACGCCTTCGATGCGGCTGATAGAGTTCGGAATACTACAGCTTTTTACGAAATTTTACGGGATTCGAGAATGCGCTTGAGCAATTGGACTGGAATACTATCGCGGAATGTAGTTCTACACAACGTATTAAGTGGCGTTTCAACACCCTACATCTGCATGGTGGGGTGGATTGTGGGAGCGATTAGTAGGTATTGTGAAAGGACTTTTGCGAAAAGTTTTAGGTCGAGCATCTCTCAATTATGAAGACTTATTGACATTATTGTGTGATTGTGAGAGTATAGTCAACTCGCGTCCGTTAATGTATCTTTCGGACGATCCTACTGAGTTAACCTCGTTAACTACAAGAATTTTTTTTAAAGGAACAAGTCAGTTACGAGTTGCCGGAATGTGATTTACTGGAGCAGAATTTTCTCACATGCAAAATACGGAGTTTACAAGAGTTGAGAAATCATTTACGAAAAATATTTCGTGCTGAATATCTGGCTCAAATTAAAGCAGGAACGAAGAAGCCGAATGTGTCTATTGGGGATGTCGTTTTAGTCTGCAAGACAACATTAAGCGTTTTCAGTGGCCTTTAGGAAAAGTTATCGTACTTATACGTGGTAGGGATGACCAGGTGAGGGGGATTCGTCTTGCGACTGCACAAGGGAAACTTCTGAGACCATTACAAAGGCTTTACCCGGTGGAGGTCTTGATACAGTTACTACTGGCGAGAATATCCAAGGTAATACTCTACCTTGTGGAAGTCAGACGGTTCCAGAGAGGTTACCCCAAGAAAACGTTGCTCAACTCCAGTTTGAGGAAGAACCACGTGAAGAGTGCGGGAGTGATAAAAAGCAGAGTTAAATAAAACTGTAAAGTCACATTTGTGTATTTTAATACAAAAGTAATTTTTTTGTAATAGAAATTTAATTTTGTATTTTTTCGAACCAGGAGTCTCTTGCGAAAATTAACCGTAGGACATTCCTAACGTAACACCTACATACTGTATAAAAGAAACATACCAATCAATATTATACAAACCATTGAAAACATGTACATACTTCCATAATCGAATATAGGCAAAGATAAATGGAAAACAGTAATTTGTTGTATTTTTCTATTCAACATGTCTCTCTTTTTCCTTCTACATATTTTCTTTGCACCTTTTCTGAGTTCTTCATATGCGCTTTCATTCAAACGGGAATCCCTTTGTAGACATTTCTGTATAGCTATATTTTTGCTATTTATTACTTGTTGGCAATCTCGGTCAAACCATTCCCCATTTCTTTGGCTTAAGGTTTCACCTAATGTTTCCTTTGTCATATTTGTAATTGTCGTCTGGATAACATTCCATTCTTCTTCAATGTTGTTGTTTTGTTCTCCTCTTTCATTTAATCTTTGTCTGTCTTAAGTATTTCTTCATAAACTCACATTTATTTTCAGATTAACTTTCCTTAGTCTTTTTTATAACACCTTTAGTAAGTTATAAAACAATTAAATTGTCCAGTTATATAAACATGCTTTCATAATTTAAACCAGACATTGCCATTTTCATAGCACTTAAAAAAGCATTCGTCATACATACCAAATAAGTGCATTTATGGATGGTGGTCAGTTAGAATCACAAATTCATAACATTTTAGGTTAGTGAAAAATGATTTATTAATAAAAAAAGCTGAAACTTGTACAATTTTTATTAACAGCAATATTAATAAATTATTACATAATCATTACACAATTTACATTGCTTACACTAAAGGTTTAATATTAGAATACACATTTAACAAACTTTTTCAGTTCAGAAAAGTTTTCCACCTAATTACAATAAGTATTTCCTATATTTATACAATTACCAACACATTTATGAATTGATATCAAAGTTAACTGGTGTTATGAGAGATTTTAAGCAATTTTCATAGAGTATTATCTATAAGACTCAATACATTCCATGTTGTACCTTACATTCACCGAAAATGGAATGTTATTGGTGAACAATCTGAGTCTAAAGAAATCACATAATTAGTAAAAATAACAAAACAGAAGAAAAAAAAAATAAAAAGACAAAGAAATTGACTAACAATGAATTAACTTAAGTAGGAGTGTCAGGAAGAGCAAAAAGAAATAAAAGCTTTGAAAAAAAGTTCTACAAGTACTTTATCTTACGATCTGTCTTTGGTTGATCAAATAATACTCATAGAACACTTGTATTCCACTGTGTATACACTTCCAATAAAATATAGGTATATAAAAAACTAATAATTTTTATAATGTTTTAACCTGTACAAAGAAACTATAGATTTCCTATTCCCAAAAGCACAATAACCACCTCCAGGAGAAAAATTCAAAACATTAGTATGACCCATTTTGGTACTAAAATTTGGGAAATTACTGAACACATTTTCAGATCCCACATGGAATAACTTGACGGAATTCTGTATATCGGCTGAACAAAATCCTAGTATCTCAGACGATGGATTGAACTTTAGGTCTTTGATAGCTGTGGTAAGATTCAAAATGGTTTTTCTTGGTTTTGGTGTGTTTGATTTAAATACATCATTCATATTGTACATATTTACTACTCCTTGTGCCGATCCTGCTGCTAGGAACTGGTTGGAAGGTGCAACGGACAGTGTGGTGCCTTGTAAACATCCCTCATCTGAGAATTTGTGCTTGACTCTATTCATTTTCATGTCCCATACTGTTATTTCGTCTGTATTGCTATGCCCAAATAAAAGATTTCCTAAAAATAATTAATTTTCCTTTAAAATCATACTAACTTAATTGATATATTTAAGATGGAAAATAATCAGAAATTTTTATTTTATTTTATTTATTTATTCATTCAAGGGTAGAACCATTTACAATAAAATACAACAATAGTAAAAAGTAAAGATCATGTACAATAAACATCAAAACAATAACAAAGAAACAAGTAAACAGTTAAAATTTGTACATTAAAACAATATATCATATCACAAAAATTTTAAAAAATATCAGTATCACATAGTAAGTATCACATATCTCGATTAATAGTCAGATTCTTATGTTGCCTTTTAAAAGCATTAATGTTTATGCAGAAAGGATCCAATAGGAGGTCATTGCAAGAGCTGAGCATTCTTGACAGGGGAAAATGACGAGCATAATCAGTCCTATGAAAAGGAATATGAAAGAGTGCAGTGTGTCGAGTTCTATGCATTGTGTTTAAGTGTACATTGGCCAATAACGAGGGACAATTAATAACATTGTTCAGAATTTTAAACAAAAATAACATATCAGCTCTCAACCTGCGGTTCTTCAATGTATCAATGTTAAAATGAGACATTATTATAGAATAATCTATGAAATAATTTTCAGTATTTTTTATATTAATATGGGCTTTAAAAGCTAAAGATCTTAGAAACTTCCTCTGAATGCTCTCCAATCCATCAATGTATACTTGATGAAACGGGACCAGACAACAGAGCAGTATTCAAGACCTGAGCGTACCAGAGAGCAATACAATAATTTAAATACAATAGGTGAGAGATCATGACTGTTGCGATAAATAAAACCAAGATTACAAAATCCTGTTTCCTTAATTTTAAGAAAATGGCTTCTAAATGTCAATGGACAATCCAATAATACACCCAAATCTCTAATCCCAGTAACTGAATCCAAGAGTACATCATTAAGAATATATCTATTAGCCATTAGATTATTTATACGACCAAATGAAATACAAGAACATTTAGTTGGATTTAAGCTTAAACCATTTTGTTTTGACCATAAACATATGTTGTTTACATCATCTTGCAGGAGATCTATATCCGATTTATTATGTATACAACGAAATATCTTAAGATCATCAGCAAATAGCAGGAAGCGTGAGTTTTTGATAGCCTTACCAATATCGTTAATGAACAAGTTAAAAAACAAGGGACCACAATGATATCCTTGTGGTACACCAGAATAACAATGAAATTCTTTTGAAATATAATTGTTAATACGAACTTGCTGTGTACGTCCCATCAGAAAACTTTTTAATCCAATTAACAATGGGGTCACCAAAGTCAGATGCATGAAGTTTGTGGACCAAAAGATTATGATTAACCTGGTCAGAGGCCTTTGAGACAGAAATTAGACATGGAAAAACTAAAACAAGAAAAATAGACATACGAAGAGAGAATAAAGGAAATATTGCTGACCAAGGAAGATATAGAACATAAACATATTGATGAAATAAACATGATATTTACTGAAACTCTAATGAAAGTGGGTAAAGAAATAGCACAGACAACACAAAAAAAAGAAAGTTTCATATCCCAGGAAACAAAGATTCTTATTAACACAAGAACATTATTAGAACAAGGGGACAGAAATAAAATGGAATACAAAGAAAATAAACAAAACTATTAGAAAAAATATCAGGGAGTGTAAACAGAGAGTACAGGAAGAAAAGATAGAGAAAACAATTGAAAAAAATAGAAACATGAAGTGCTTAAATCAGAACCTTGGAAACATACAAATTAATAGCATAAAGAACAAAGCAGAGGAGACCAACAATATAAAAGAAATTTTACAGATAACACACAAATATTATACAAGTCTCTATAATACAGAACAAAAACCAACTCAAGAAATCCGTAATCAGTTACAATTGAAAATAAAGAACTTTAACTCTGACCTACAACCAGAAATCAGAAATAAAAAGGCACTCTTTGAAGTGCCTGGAAATGAAGAATAACAAATCTCGTGGGAAAGATGAAATAACTGTGGAAATGCTAAAAATGGACAAACGGAGTCAGACAGAGGTGACATTATATCACCCAAACTACTCAATCAAGCTTTGGAAGACTTATGAGGAAGTTACAATGGGAAAAACGGAGTATTAACATAAATGGCCAATACTTGAATCACTTGTGGTATGCAGACCACATATATTAATGAGATAAAGAGAAGAATTACAAAATATGATGAATGAATTAAATAGTGAATCAACAAAAATAGGTCTACAAATGAATCTAGGTCTCTAAAAAATAGAAAATACCCCCAATATTTAAAAACAAGAGTCTTCAACCAATGTATACTTCCTGTTCTCATCTATGGTTCTCAAACTTGGACATTTACAAAGGAAAACATGCAAAAAAATAGCAAAGACCCAAAGAGCCATGGAAAGACAAATTCTGAACATCAGGCTATCAGACAAGAAAAGAAATACTTGGATCTGCAACAAAACAAAAGTGATCAATGTATCAACACAGATAGCAAAACTTAAGTGGAAGTTCACTGGACATACCATAAGACAGAAAGACGACAGATGGAATAAGATGATTATACACTGGAGACCATATAGTTACAACAAAAAAGAGGAAAGCCACAAATGAGATGGTAAGATGACTTTAAGAAACATGCAGGCACAAACTGCCTACAATAGAGGGACATGGAAGAATGAAGAGGAGGCCTATGCCCAAAATTGGACAGCAAGGGTTGTATAGATAGATAGATTTAAGATCTTACCTGATGGATTGTAAGTTAAAGCAGTGACTTCGGTTTCTTGCTTCAATAAGGCCACTTTTTCTTTAGAAGTGGCTGATAATAGATGTACCTCTCCCCATTTACCAGCTATAGCAATAAACTGGGAATCTGGTGAAATTACAAAGTTCTTACACTGTGTTAATCCTTGTGGTAATGTGTATCTTGTAGGTTTTGTTGCCAATAAATCATAACTGAACATATGTGACTGCCTAGACCCTAATAGAGCTTCGTTTCCATTCTGTAAAAATTTTGCACAAACTATAGGATAATTTTGGAATTTTATACTATGTAGCTTATTATTTCTTTTGCCATCTACTGCATATAAAGTAGCAACTCCTCCATTTCCTGCTATTAAAGCTACACTGGAAGTCGGGTGGAATTCTATAGAGTTAATGTAAGGCCCTTCTGAGTAAGTCTCACAGTTTAAATCCTTAACTTTCTTAAATTCTAATATACTAGAAGGTAACTGGCCTTTACTACTTTTAATAAAACCACAACTCCTTAATATTTCTTCATCAGAGTCTGATTCTGTTCTTTTGCGCTTATTTAAAGACGCCCACTTTGGAGTACCAACAGCAGATTGGAATTTATGTTTAAGCAAATTGGAATATTTGTTACTTCTATCGTTAATGCCTCCTGAAGGTAACTTGCGCCTTTGACTGTCTAGTGCCTGTCCAACGTCTATACCGTCGTCATCTTCATCAGTCCATGCAGGTTTTCGTACTTTTTCTTCGTCATCGGTATCAGTTTCGCCTACGCCGGAATCTGCGTTAGCTCGAGAGGGCCCTGCTTCCTGCTCAGCCTCCTCTAGACATTGTAAAAAACTCGTGGCTCCCCCGAACAAAATATGGGACAATTGCTCTTCCTCTGCTTGGTCATCGCGAGATCGGAATTTTGCTTTAGGCCGATTGGTTTCAAATTCCTCTCCTTCTTTCGACTGATGTTTTCTTTTCCTATTATGATTAACTTTCGACATGTTTAGGAAGTCTTCTACTATGGTTGGTTTTTAAAAGTAGAAAAGTAACATTTCATAGACAAATGACAAGCTGTCTTTTTCGTCTTCTTTTCGAATATCTGCCTGGTCATCTGTCTGTGTATCCAACTAGAAAATATTTTTGGGAACTCATAATTATTTGGAGAATTTTAAAGATTTGTTTATGTTAAATGTTCAAATATTTTGCCTCTTTAATTAAATAAACCAAAAATTCAACAATTTTGTAGCTTGTACATTCTATAAAATTTTGGCAGTTCAATTAGCCAGCACTTGAAAATTACTGTTGTGTTGTGGTTGAGATCATCATTTGCCCAATTTTACCTTTGTATTTTTGACGACAACGACATTTTGACGAAACAATCCTGAATCCTATATTCGCATATAAAAGGCTTGAAAGGCCATAGAAAACGTTGTAAGTAAGAAGAAGAGTTCACAGATGTTTGTTTATAGTTGTATATAAACCAAATAGAAATACAGAAATAGTAAACATTAAACAATGGGTTCTGAACATTCTAGTCAATCTGGATCACAAAATACTCAGAGACAAAGTAGTTTTAACAAAGAAGCTTCCAAACAACCAAACGTTCGTCGTCAACATACCATAGCGAATCCCGGAGGATCTGAATTTACTAGTGAAAATGTTGATATTAGACCAGGATCTATATCCCCAGGTCCAAGTGTGTGCAGTGATGTTGATTTACCTTATATTAGCTATACAGTAAACAGGCCTATTGGAGGTATCCCTGATCATACAATATTCAGTTGTTCTGTAAAATTATTAATAATCCATTTCTTTCAGATTCCCCCAAATTAACTAACAAACAATTACTAAAAACCAAATCGCGCAGAACATCCCAGCCCAAACCATCAAAATCCAAAACATCCACCCACAATATAGTAGTAGTTCGTGGAGCTAATCCTGCAACAGCTGTCACAGAAAAAGATCCTGAAATACTGAGGTTGCAAAGCATTCCAATGTTTTTACCAATAATGAGAGCCACGCTGAGTTTACCAGCTGCAAGAGATCCTGAAGTATTAGAAAGATTGGACCCTACACCTGTTAGAAATTTGTGTTTGAGGTATCAGCATCATCTGACAGCAGCGGCGAATTTGGTAGCTACTGAACAAAATCAAATTACACATAAAATCAGAGAGGTACACATTTTTTTAATAGTTAGGTTGTAAATTTTACCAAAATTGGCTTGAGTTTGTGTATAGCTTTATCATGTTCAGGTACTTTTAAGTCATTTGCACCTCTAAGTTGTGGATTTTTTTTATAGATTGATGCAGAAATAACAAAAGTAGTGATTGTAGCCACAGACAGGCAACGCAAATATGCTAAATATAGTGAAAAATTATCCAAAGTAACAGAACTATCTCATCAATTAAATCGTTGTCATATGTTGCTGAATCAAACTTTAGAATCAATGGAAACATTGAACAATTATTTGGATGTTGAAGACAGATTGGAGCCTTTTATATGGACGACTGGATGAGATTTACTTCAAGATCCTTATGAGATTGAAAATGAGGGAAACATGAGTGAGGATCTTTAGATGTAATATTAAGATGATTGTGATGTTAGTAAATTATTGTAGATTTCAGCTATTATATACCTGCCAGTTTTAAGAATATTATAAATATATAAATATAAAGTGTAGGATATTTCTTTGAATACTCCATTTGCCTTTACAAAGATCCCATAGTATATTTCTAACATTTTATTTAGTTTTTTTAGAAGAAAGGTAAGGTTGTTTATGGGCAGCACAGGATAACATTATAAGGTGAAAAAAATAGGACATCATTTAATATTTTGGAAATAACAAATTTTTTAACATTGAATATTGAATACCCTTGATTATACAGTGTCAGGCAGAAGTATAGAGATAGTGCCATGAAGTTGGCTATAAACGTAATGTCAAATTTGTGTTTGTGTTATTGCCATGTGCTTAGTATGTATATGTTTTATGCCTCAAATATGCTTTGAAACAGTACATTTTTATTATATTATTTTATAAAATCGGGTATTTTTAAATTCATATGAAACACGAACGAATGAATATTTGTTTCTTTTGATATTAGTTGCAGTTAGTTATTAGAAAAAAAAATTATAATTGGCCTTTGGTAGATTAGAAAATAAACTTGCCAACACTGTCAAAATTTTGAATACAGTAATTGCCAGATTGCAACAGATGTTTAGCAGATTTCAATTTTATCTTATAATTTTGGGATTAAATGGTATCTGAATAAAAGCTTAAAAAATTAAAGTTAATTTAAATTATAATAAATCAAATTTAAATTAATTAAACTTCTTTTAAAAACTTAAAAAGAATGTTTAGTAACATTAATTAATATTATATCGCATGCTCTTTCGTGACTTATTTGTGATATGGCAATACTGCCAAATACAATCTGTCAGTCATTTGTAGCCAGCTTCATCGGCACTTTCTCTATACTTTTGCCAATATGTCTATGGTATTAAAAATAACAATAATAAAAAACTGATTATTTAAAAATTTTGACAGTTATAAGTATGAGTCCAAGATTTGACAGATTACAGTGCATAGCCCTCTAGTAAGGTAAGTCCTATAGAAATATTTGGGAGAGTTTTTAGCGCCAAATGCGGACGGGCCGAAACTAATTTCATTCGGCGGCAAATTTAAAACGTGGGTTTTTAATTTTATTCGGTAAAATTCAAAAAGTAGAAATGCAGTACTAGTAGTAGAATGAAATAGAAATTTTATGCTTTTAATGGAAAATACATATAGCCATAAGATAAAAACTTATTCTATGCCAAAGACTTATCTGTATCCAAAAATATAGTATAGTTTTTTTATATAAATGCAAAACATAATATCAGACAGAGTATATATTATGGTACAGGTAAGTTTTTATTTATTATATTAACAAACCAAAGTCCTGAAAACAACAAAATAAAACACAGATATCCTGAGACTTTTTATTTGGTAAAGTATTGGCAACAAATGTCCTTCTCATCCTATATAATGCACATAGATACCTTTATATTTTATGCATTAGTACTGGTTTGTTATAAGTTCCATACCTTCTAAAATACTCTTCCTTAAAGCTTCTTGCTATGTCATACTATATAGATAATAAACTCTAGTATTTCTGTGAACTTGCTCTTCAGGATCATCACAAATTAGTATGTACCTATTGTTCAGAAGTAGGTCCATAAAAATCTAAAATAATGAAATATTACTAAAATTAAGAATGTATGACTTTTTTTTATAAAATGTGGTATTTTTTTGGATTGCAATTATGAGTTGAGTTTTAAGCATTTTAAAATATATATTATAGTAATATATAAATAAAACATTCAGGTTGGTTAAGATGTAAAAGTAATTTAACTACAGGAACAACATGTGCAAAATAGTATTGAGTTTGTATTTACTAACAAAAGTTTGGTATAATTAGGTGCTGTTTTTAACTGGTGCTTGTAAAAATAAATTCCTAATCCTCAGAATCAAAATGTTTAACTGTATTTTGATCTTCTTTTCTTCTAGCAATTTGTTTCGATATATAAAAACAAAAAAACATGTATACTGTTTTTATCTCCTATTTTTAAAATGTGAGATGATACAATGTTTTTGTTTTTGTATTTATAACGCCATTTGCAATTTGCAATTGCAATTTTGCGGATTACAATGTTGCCACAAACATAACCAACACATTTTTTTTTCGGTGAATACTCAAAATCCTATAGAAATCAGTTATTCTAAATTTAAGTTGTAATTTTAGTAGACTTTACTATAATCTTTGTTTGTTTTTTTTTAACATTGTATGGTGTAAAATATTGTATCATTACTTGGGTAAATATGCAAAACTTGTGAAACGATGGCAACAGCACTTACATCAACGTCATACGCCTCTCGCTATGTCATACCTCCACCTATCGTGACTAGTAGCGCCGTCGACGGCTGGGCCCATGCAATTCACTCTCCCCACGTGTCGTATTTCACTTACACTACTATTTGTGTTATATACTGTGGTGACAGATAGATTTTAAATAACTACAACAATACTTTTTTTGTTTGTTTCCATAGTTACTTTACTTCTTTGTTGTTTGTTATGATCGTTTTAAACCGTAGTGGACTGTTGACAGTGTTTTTAATGAACCACAGATTTATACAGCTAAATCAAAATTAAGCAATCTAAACCATGGCCGCAACAACAACTACTAACTCATTTGTGTCTTGCATCAAAGTAAAAGGAATAGAACTCTTGCCTCCAGTGGTAAGTGTCGAACCTAATTGATGATTATTATGGCATTATACACAGTTTTTACGCTTATACAAATTAGAGAAACAATATACTGTACCTTTTTATTTATTTATAACCTTGAATATGCTTTCAAGCTTAATTAATAATTGATCTGTACGAAAAGTTCTCAAGGATCATTATTTAATAGTCTAAAATTATGTAAAACAATCTCGCAAAAATCGATGTTGTATTTCACATTTGTATTTTAGATAAATCAAACACGCCGTTTAGAACTGCAAACATACAAACAACAGGCGATAAAATTGGAAAAACGTCTTCGAAATTGTAAGGAATTAAAGAAAAGTCTACAAGAGTTAATGTCCACTCAAAACCTTACCAATTCCCCGTATTTTGACGGAAACAGCCATATTGAAGACTTAGGAATTTCCTCGGCCAGGAGCAGTGTCCAACCAAAGAAAAAACCAAATCTAAGTAGAGATATTATCGATGTTAGCGAATATAGCAATGACGGCATCAAATTAATCAATAAAGAGAAAGATACGGTGTTTGAATCTAGACGAGGCCAGAATGATTTTAACCAAGGACAACTATTAAGCATCGGTGATGCATATGAAAGTGATTCATCTTTAAATAAGTCAAGCGAAATACCTGTCTCCTCTGTGATATCAAGTGCTAGAGAGCCTCATTCACAGTGGACATCTCCTGATTTTATTGGAAGTTGTGATAATGGAGTAAGCATTCATTTGATTATTTTTGCAAGTGTGATATTATTTTTATATTATTTTAGAGTAATTTTTTACCAAGAAAATCTTCGAGTCCAAAACCTATACGATCCACACCACCTAGGAACAAATCAAAAAGTGCTACAGCAAAATCGACCTCTTCCCCTTAAAGCAAGACTGATTAGAAGCAACTCTTATACTCTCGAATCACCAAGCCCGATACTTCTGGCCCATCTCGAGAAATGCTGCAAGACAAATCTAGAAGTACCAGAACCAAGTGGAAACCTTTCACGAAATTGGACGTCCTTAGAGAATAATTTTGTACCGATGGAAGACAGTGAATTTAGCAGTTTAAATACTGTTTATAATGCTAATTTAAGCAGTCGAAATGTTAGTGATAAAGTGCCTTTAGATGGAGTGGGTGATGAAGAGCTGAAACCACAGAAGGATACTGGACAAAAGTCTCCTACTATTGAGGTAAGTCATTTTTATAAGATAATTTCAGAATGTAGTAGATTATTATTATTTTTTTTATTTATTATATAGACAGTATCACCCCATTACAGCATTACAATAACATTATATTTTTAATCTAATTTATCTTATAACTGCACTCTAAAATCCAATGCTTAGAAATAATTCTAGATTTTACTATAAATCATGGTTTTAAATTGATTTAAACTTAAATTAAAAGAATCTACAGTGACTATTTAAAAAAAGGCCCTATCAAATTGATTATTGCAGTCATAATTGGTAGCATGAAAATTTATATAAAAAAGTTCAAAAGATCTTAGTCTATGCTGTGGAATATTGAAGCTTATTTTACTTGAAAGTTCCGGATATTGAATTGTTATTTAATAATTTATAAATAAATACAGAATCAAACTGAATTCATCAGTTATAAAGTGTTGTTAGATTTAATCTATCTAAAATTACTTTTTGTCTACATTTGCAACTGGAATTCTGATTTTGTAACCGCAATACCTAAGAAACTTATTCTGAACTTTCTCAATGGAATTGATATACTGGTTATACATAGGAGACCAGACTAGCATGCCATATTCTAGTTGAGAGCGTACAAGGTGCTTTCTAATGAAATAAATCAATTTATGGCAAATGCAGCGCCAGAAGCTGTAAAGAAAATAAAGCATGTAAAAATTTTCAAATTAATATCGAACAAACTAATCATTGCATGTTTTTAACTCCAGTTTCGAATAATAGTCACATAATAAATAACTTAAAAAACAAGCATAGCTCTGGTTATGATGAAATATCAATTAACTTAATTAAATATGTTTCATCAGAGATTTCTCTTCCTCTTTCTTTTATAGTTAATGCTTCTTTCAGGCAAGGTCAATTTCCTCAAAATTTAAAACTGGCAATTGTCAAGCCACTACATAAAAAAGGTTGATGTTACTAAGATGGAGAACTATAGACCAATAAGCCTTCTTCCATTATTCTCAAAAATATTTGAAAAAGCAATATATTTCAGACTACAAAACTTTTTTACTACAAACAACTTATTTAGTAGTTCACAGCATGGTTTTCTCGCAGGGAGATCTGTTGAGACAGCTACCTATGATTTTATATCAAAAATTTTAGAAAAACTGGAGGCAAAGATGAAAACACTGGGTGCTTTTTTGGACCTATCTAAGGCTTTTGATAGCCTAGATCATGTTCTTTTATTACAAAAATTACATCTTTATGGAATACAGGGACCAGCATTAAAATGGATAAAATCATTTCTCACAGATAGGTCGCAAAGGTATGCCTGGAGAAAAGGGGATGTAAGGTTTACTCTGAACCGATCAATTTAAAATTAGGTATACCACAGGGGAGTGTTCTGGGGCCTTTTCTCTTTTTGGTCTACATAAACGACCTTCCAAATGCGGTGGTTAGTAGTTCCTCAAACCTTGTAAATTTCGCTGATGACTCAAATGTGCTTTTCTGGGAAAAAACTTTAGAAACACTCCTCACAGTGGCAGAGCAAATTCTAAGCAAGGCTGAACAGTGGTTCAGTGGAAATCGGTTGTTGCTTAATACTGATAAGACAGTTTTTGTCTACTTTAGAACCAGCCAGTCACGAGAACAGTTTCCAGATACAATTAATTTTCTATCAGAAAACACGGAACCTGCTAGATCAGTTAAATTTCTTGGTATTCATATTGACCAGAATCTGAATTGGGGGGAACAAATACAAAATACAACAAAAAAACTGAATAGAGCCTGCTACTCATTAAGAGTGTTAAAGAGCTATCTAGACCAGGGGATTTTACTATCAGTATATTATGCAAACTTTTATTCTGTTATGTGATATGGAGTAATCTTCTGGGGTGCTGCAGTAGATAGCTCAACTGTCTTTATAGTCCAAAAAATGCAGTCCGGGTGATCTTAGGACTAAAGGCGGGAGAATCCTGTAGAGGCCGATTCAAGTCACTCAATATACTCACTTTCTCAGCCATCTATATATTTGAATGTATTATGTTCATTTTTAAAATTCTTCTTTGTTTTATCACCTGCTTCCAATCATGAATATAATACAAGAAGCCTTAATTTGAATTAGAGCTTTTAAAAGAAAGGTTTTTCAACACCTAGTTGACATTGAGCCATATACTGTGGCGGAGTTCCTGGCCTATCCTTCTCCTTGATCAGCATATTTAATTTGTAATGTTAATATATTTTAAATGTGTGATGTCTATATATATTTTTTTAATCTGTAATTAATAATGTGACATTATTTGCTCAATTATGTTTAAAAATTTATGCAAATAAAAATTTACTCTACTCTACTCTACAAGAGAACAATACACAACTTTTGTTACATCAATTTAGGAACCCACTACAGTTTCTTAATGTAGTGTTAGTCTGTGAAATATGATCATTGAAATTATTGCTTTCATTTAAAAGTGATGCCCAGTGATGATGTAACTTGATTTTTATATCTTAAATTAACAATTTTGAATCATATTGTTTATTCCCCTAAAAAACTGATATAAAAGCATTTATCGATATTTAATGTAAGATTATTTTGTATACTCTAGTCCCATAACCTGTCAATATTCTTTTGCAATATATGTATGTCAGCTATAGATTTTATACATCTATATAACTTTAAGTCATCTGCAAAAAGTAAAACTAATGATTCAAGATTATCAGAAATATCATTTATAAAGAGATTAAATAGTAATGGTTAACGAGTGGCCTCCTTGGGGGACACCTGGTAAAAGCTCAAATAATTCAGATAGGAAATTAAATAGTTTTACCCTTTTTTCGTCTTTAAAACTGGATCCATTCTATGGCTCTAGTAAATTCTAAATTGTGGAGTTTTGCAAGCAAAATGTCTCTGTAGAATGCCTTGAAGAAGTCAGCATAGATTAGTTACTTGTCTATCAAGCCCAACAGATTCATTCTATATACTGCAAGTTAGTAATAGTGGATTTTCCAGCTGTAAACCCATGTTGAACTACAATAAATTCTTTACATTGCCAATATAGTTGATTGTATACTATTTTATCTAATAACTTTGGTATTGCTGATTGCTTAGAGATACTACGATAATTTTTTACATTATTTTTATCACCAGCTTTAAAAACAGGTGATACATAGATTTCTTTCCATCTAGGAAGGAACAGTAGGTATATCGGTTTGGAAATTGTAAATGAACAATGTTTCAAAAAATAATTTGGAATATTATCTGGTCCCGTTGAAAAAGAGTTTCTGAGGTGACATATCGTCTGTGTCTTTCTAATACCTCGTAACCCCAAAATCGCGATTGTTCAGGAGACAAGAAAAACCGTTTTTAATTTTTGTGGAATGGTTGACGATTGATTTTTTTACATTTTCATTTGTTTTTAAAACTACCTTACATATCTTAAAAAAGAATTTTACTAATTTTTTAGTTTTTAGCCTTTTAATGTGGGTTACGAGTAAATCGTTTTCACGATGTTTTAAAAAATGTGGCTTACAAGGTATTTTCCTACATTGGTTCTATTACAATTTCCTATAATTAGATTACGTTTAGCCATCCTATTTTACGGAATTTGAAACGATAAATACTTTATTGCTTTTATTAATAAAAATATATTTTATGCAAACTGACAAAGAGAAATACAATGTGAACAAACTTAACATTATTTATCAAAATGAGGTAACGTATCATAAAATGTATGGCAGTCTACTGGAATTACTTCTTTCAGTTGTTGAAGATGACAATATTTTTCATATTTTATTTTCCTTCTCTCTTTGTTCATTTGAGGCCAAACAACCGGTAACTTAACAAGTTTTGGTCTTTGAGGTAGCAAACTCCAGTCATCGTCAAAGTTTAATTTATAGTAAATAGTTCCTTCTGGAACATACTTTAAGGCTCGTATATCATTTACTGTAGGATCGCCTGCTGTCTAAAAGTAAGAATTATCAAATAATAATAATAATAGTTTTAGAAATGTTTACATATTATTTATCACAACGTAGTAGGTAGGTACTCACTTTTCCAGGTCTAATTGATGAGTATCGATGATTCTTCTTTGAAGTGTAATCAAGAAAATCGGTATACTGCATTTGTTTGACTTCATATGGAAATGGATTCTTTCTTGCTCGTTTAGTTTCTCGTATAAAATCGCTTGGCAAATGAATGTCACGTCCCTTTAACTGCCTTTCGATACAACTATGGACCGAGTCACATTCCATTTGCGTGTGACCTACCTCTAAATACTTCTGCATAATTACAATCCGTTTTTCCACGGAATATTGCAAGAGTGCGTTTGACAACACCACATTTCGGTTCTGGTACGTGCATCCGTCGCTGTAAATTATCAAGCTACCCTTTACATTATGACAGTGCTTGGACAAATACTGTATTATACAAGTTGTGAAAGTAGAAGCAGTCATATCTGCTTCGACCTCTGTAAACCAAAAACAAGTACTATGATGACTAACTAAATCATACACAGTAAAGTTGTGGCATGATAATTTTGTTTTATAAAAAATTGCACTAGCTGTAACAAACGGGCAGACTTTAATGGCTTCTAAATCCATTGCCAATACGCATACACCAGATTCTTTATCTTTCTGCTTTTCCTCTCTTGCTCTATCCTTTTTTAGTATATGAAGTTGGTAGTCATCTTCTGCAAGCTGACCAACTTCATACTTTACACAAACGTCACATTTATCCTTCTTAATTGGATGAATTGACAAATTCATTAAATGAAATGTGTCACTAAAGACACTTCGCGACATCGGTTGTTGTTTTTCTTCTAAGCATTTGGTCTTGTATACTTCGTAAAGATGTTGTATATTACGAAACACGTCTTCCAGGTAAAGTTTCGAGGAATTGGCTCTTCCATAGTGTGATGGAAGTTTGGGTAAGCTATTAAAAAATTCAGTCATAAATAGCTTGCTTCCAGTTTGTACCTGTTTATTGGGCAATGTCTCTTCAATTTGTTTATTCGAATCGCTCATTCCATGCTTACCTTTCTTTACCCAATCCATAACGCAGTATTCACCTAAATCTAATGATTGTAAAAACATCTTTTTGCACACTTGTACTTTGGAGTTATTGATACTTAAATAGTAATTTAATGTGGTATGCCTGCGACTCAATTCACGTTGGGTATATACTCGTTTCCGGGGTACACTCATTACATGGTTAACAACATAAACTTTTCGTTGCTCCCAATTCATGGTATTCCAAAATGCTTTAAAAACTTCTACGCGCTGCTCTTGTGTTATTTGCGAACATTGCTTTGATTTAACTCTTAAACATTCTTTGGAAGTACAAGTTGGTCCAATTTGTCTTTCTTTTCTTTTAGCATCATTTGTTACTTTGCCGAGAACATTTCGGTAACCGATATAAGCCTTACCTTCCATTCTGAGTTGTTTGTTATGATTTTTAGCCCAGCTCTCAGGCTTCCGTTTACGGTTTCGTTTTCTTAACACTGTAGTTGCTTCTTTCTGAATATGTAGCTGCGTTAGATGTTCGTGATTATCCGAAAGAGTATGTTCGAGAGAGGCTGTAATAGGAGTAGGGTCTGTAATAATTTCAATTTGAAAATCATCAACGTCTCGACAAACTTCACTAAACAGAGGTGTTTCAATTATTACTGGTATATTATTAATATCAATAGTAGTAGTGCCTTCTGACTCATTACGGAAGTCATGCATCACAACTAAAAAGAAAAAAAAATAACAATAGGTAAAAGCTTCTACCTAGTCTTAAGTCGTAAATTTATTCTTCTATGTCGTATGTTCTTACCTTGTTCCAAAACAATATTATGTTCATCACACATTGGGAGTTCAACCTGTTGAACAGTGTCGATAGCAACATCAATAGTAATGGCGTTATTAGTTGAATCATGGTTAGCAACTAAAAAATTTATAAAAATAAACAATGACGTTCCCTTTAAATACTTATATAGCAGCAATTTTTCAGCTTAAATACTGCATTCCTACCTTTTTGAGAAGAGTTTATCAAATTTTCTACCAAGCAATTGTCTCCAACCTCCTCATTACACGCTGACTTGCTAATTGTGTCTGAAAGACTATGTGTTGACTCCGAACGAATATCTACAATATAAATAAATACTAAAGTTAACACATTTTAGCTGCCGCATGCAATTAATAAGTAAAATTAATTAGAAAGACAACGGAGTACTAAATACTAACAACACTTAAAGTATTACTTACCTAAACCAGTATCTGTGTCTATTAAAGCAAGGTCAACTAACTTACGGCCCCGTGAACACATTTTTGTAAAACTATAATCAACAGTATATTTATATTTTTATATTAAAAACAAAACAACAAATCGTAATGATGCACCTATGCATGTACACTAAAAGATAATCACAATTTATAGGTTAACTAACTAACAGTTGAGCGAATGACTGTACGCTAATATCTCGTAAGCCACAGAACCGAAATACTAAATGTGAATTAGGTGTCATGTTTGGGTTACGAGATTTTTAAAAAGGTGGGTTACGGGGTATTGCTATTCATACTCTCAGCAATGGGAATACGAGCTATTAGAAAACACATTTAATAATATAAATAATAAAGTATGGCTTACAAGGTTTTTTGTACAGGCGAGTTTAGCTTTACATTATACTAATATGTAAAAAACGCATTTTCCAATTTTTGTGGGTTACGAGGTATTAGAACGACACAGACGATATACCATCATAAATATCTGATTTCTGAGATTTTAATGGTATATAAACAAATATTTGCTTTTGAGCATGAGTCTGTTTGGGACAATCAGCATGTGAATGAATCATATACACTAGCAAAATGTTTGGCAAACAAGTTAGCTATGTTTTGGGCATTATCTGCCATTTGGTATTTGTTTTTTTTTGTGAGAATTGTTTTGCAATTTTCAAGACAATAGAAAAATTTTCATTCAGTGTGTTGCTCCTAATAAAAAACCTTACAAGAGTAATAGTGATAGGTTTGATAAGTGCCTACAATCAAGTCAATTTATTTATTTTTTCTTTGTAGGTGGTCCAAACTGATATTTCTGTTCAGCATATAACTGTAAACGCCAATAGTGAAAATGTAGAACCTGTCAAAGGCACTTTGGACTTAACCAATCCAGATTGCCAATTGATGCAAGTTCTGAAGAAAATACCAGAAGATTATTCAAAGCAGATTATAGAACTACTGGAAAAACGTAGGCTAGATCATCAGAATAAAGTAGACAATTTTGGAAAACAATTTAAAAATACGCCTTCCAAGGACGAAAACATAGAAGATAGCGATTCCACTACTTCGGAGCTGTCAAGTTGGTCGAATTATTGCGGCATCGCAGACAAATTAACGCAGATCGAACTCCAAAAGATGTATCCAGCAGAAAATGTGCAGAGTTCACCAAATATCAATAGTAAAAAGTTTTTGGTAAACGAAACCTATTCTGGGGATACTTCTGATAGCATTCCTTACCAAGATATCGAGATTACTGATATGGAAAAAGTAATTGGTGGCTTAGATAATACATTTGACGTTAATTCAAAAGGAATCGAACAAAAGAGACCAGAGAGTGCAAAGAAAATATTTCTTACTACTAAAAGCCACGAAGCAGCTAAAAAGGTTAGTTTGTTTTTTAATTTTCTTGATGTAAAAGTAGAATTTTCTCTTACATAGTAGGGTAAAGTGTGCAAATCGCGATCACCTAAGAAGAAAATTTGATATAAAAAAGTAAAAAACTGTAAATCAAATTAAGGCGTCAACGGGTCATTTGGAGTGTTAACTTATTGCAAGACACATTTAATTTAAAAAATCAAAAAATTTTGTCACCATATATGGACAATACGGTCATGAGTGTGGGTAATGCCAGTCAATTTCTCTTATTATTAAAATAAAAATCAATATCTATTTAACAATTTTTTGTTATAAAACGATTAACGAATGTGCCATAATGGGTAATATAATTCAAGTAAATCAGTAAGAAAGGTGAACAGATGTTTTTTATTACAAAACAAAAAAAAAAATAACAAAAATATGTGTTTTAATGAATGCCTGAAAACTGCCATAGTAACACATGTTTACAAAAAGGGTGATCCTAAATTAATTAATAACTATAGACCAATTAGCTTTCTATGTTCCTTTTCAAAAATCTTAGAAATTACTATGTATAGGCGGATAACAGAATTTTTAACAAAATGTCATATTATTAGTGCAAATCAGCATGGTTATCAACAGGGAAAATCAACTCAGACTGCGATTTTTCAATTTGTCTGGGATATTTTGAAATGTACTGAGATTGGTCATATGGCTTTGGGTCTCTTTTTGGACCTATCAAAGGCATATGACTGTTTAGTGCATGACATATTATTTGATAAATTGGAGAAATTTGGTATACGTGGACCAGCATTGAACTGGTTTAAGTCCTACTTGGCAAATAGGAGACATTTAGTAAAAATACATAAAAACACTGAAATAGGCATCTCATCTGAAAGCACTATCAATATTGGAGTACCACAAGGAAGTGTGATTGGTCCTTTACTGTTTGTGATCTATATCAATGATCTTCATGGTCTAGTGGCTAATACTACTTCCAGCATAACAAATTATGCAGATGATACAAACATTTTAGTCAGTGGTAAAGACATGTCTGTTCTAAGCGTTAATGCTAGTTTAGAGTTCCAGAAAGCTAAAGACTGGTTTTCTATGAATAGGTTGGTTTTAAATCAAAATAAAACAGATCTTCTTTTGTTTAAGACAAATTATGCACATTCAGATATGCCAAACAGTATTATTGTAAATAATGACACTTTAAATATTAGCAGCAGTACCAAATTTTTAGGATTATATATTGACAGTTTTTTATGTTGGGATAAACATGTTGACCAGTTATGTATGTCTTTGAGTAAAGTGATTTACAGCTTTAGAGTTCTAAAAAAATACATGAATAGTAACTCATTAAAAACAGTGTATCATGCTAATTTTGAAGCAAAATTTAGATATGGTCTAATAAATTTTGGCCACAGTAGGGACATAAATAATGTATTTCTGGTTCAGAAAAAAATAATCAGAGTTATGTTTGACTTAAAAAGTAGGGAATCATGTAGAGGGCATTTTAGGAGTAATAATATTTTAACAGTTTACGCTGTATTTATTCAAGAATGCTTACTGTTTCTATATAAAAATAAAATACTCTTTAGGAACTTTGAGCCCAATAGTATAGTAAATACCAGGTTATATAATTATAAAATTCCAATACACAGGTTAAGTATAACAGAAAAAAACGCTCTTTATTGCTGCATCAAATTGTTTAATAAACTGCCTGAACCTATTAAAAGGGAGGAAAGATTAAGTGTGTATAAACATCAAATATTTAAATTACTGGTAGCTCTTGAGCCATATTCTGTGGAGGACTATTTGCATATGTAACGGTTAGGAATAAGTAAATAATATTTTCGTTTGTGACACTGTTTTTTTTTTAAATAATTTTATGTTCACGGAATGTATATTATTTTCTAAAAATAAAGATAAAAAAAAATAAAGATATTGTTATGTTAATGTAAAAATGGTTGACAGTCATCACACTGCACTCTGAATGGGCCCATCTTGAGCAAAGGGTACATCTAAACCACATTTCATTGTTTTTGCCAAACTCGCTTCAAACCAGGCATCTATCTTCGTCTGTATCACCACTGTCATCACATGGTATATTGATATCTGATTCCGAAGAACTAGAATCAAACACCTTTCTCTTGTAATGAGGTTTCTTAGGTTGTATTTGTTTTCCAGTCTTATTTCTATTTTGTCCTTTCTGAGATTTTTGGGTATTCTTCTAACTCTTGTTTAAAAGGCGTAGATGTCAGGATTTTGGCATGATGTTTTTTTCTGGTTATACTCTTTCTTACAGCGGAATTTGTAATAGACGTAAGTTCTTTAAATGATGATGTGAAACTAGTAGAAGGTTCCGGAATAGGATCCATTGTTGTTGTTTCAACCTGATTTTTATTTATTGGTGGCAAAGTTTGAAATGGGTTTGTATTGTAAATTTCGGCTGGTATGGCTTCATTGTTATCCTGGACTTCAACAAGCAATTTTTTTTTGTAAAGTTATATCAGCTAAAAAATCTTGATCTGTAAATACTTTTGGGTAGAGTGGAAAAATGCCAGCGCATTTAAAGCCAGATTCTCCTTTACTTATGGTCGCTACTGTAGAATATGCTTTATTAAACAGACCAGCAACATCATATGGCGTGATATTTCGCATAAAATGTGCTTTCATGAACAAATTACATTCATTTCGATATTCAGCTTTAAAAGGCCCATAAAAACAATAACCAAAGTTGGATCTTGTGAGATGAATGAGGCGGAATTAAAAGCATAGAAATATTATTTGCTTTGCAATATTCATAAAATTTTATTGATATGTGGCTGGAATGGTTATCTGTAATTAGAAGAACTGGTGAGGTTTCACTGGGTTTTGAGTATTTGTGGTTTGAGTATTTATTATACATGTAATTTTTAACATGTATTAAATTATTGATCTTTAAAAAAGGAATAGGCAGCTAACATCATTATAATCAATTGTAATCAATTTTAAGATCTACAATTGAATAAAAATGAAGTAAGACCTTATATTACTCACCATAAAAATAAGATCGAAAACACTGAAAACAGGTTAATAATATTTCTATGACAATGATATGCGCCAACTCAACTCTCGTCGGCAATCTGAATACAGAGTAAGCGACACGTTGCCAGTTATGGGAGGTTGCCAGATTGAATAGATGTCGCACAATCGGGATAACCGCCATTACACACTGACCGGTATTTGCACAGTTTACCCTAATCATAATAGTTTGAAAGAGATTTTATAGACTGTAGAATGTAATTTAGCTTTTGTGCCATTAAGGAATACAATGTAATAATAGTTTTGTTGAAGCAATGGGCTGCGAGTGTAATATGTGCCTACGTCAAGGGGTATTTGACTAGAAGGCTACTCCACACGTCTCGGGTACAGTCTAAAATTGACACGATTAGAGACGCTGTCATATGCGCCCTTCAATTACACGAAGTCGAACATTTCGACGAAGCTGACGCTGAATTACACAGACGACTGATAAATCAGGTAATTTTCTTTGCGTTTTTTTAAATACTTTACCTAGAATTTAACGATTTTTTTACTATTTGTTTTGAGTATGCTACTAGAGACCTCTAGTGAGGAAAGATGAAGTTAAATGTGTCGATAGCAATTAAAATAATTTTTATACCCAAGCGTGCCAGAGTAGTCGACGCGTTTTGATTTAGTTTCAGTCTTCTTACAAATTCGATGACGGGTAGACCCATAAACACGTGTTAGGGAGTGGTAAGAGACCAGATTAAATCGAAACGCAACCATCTTCGTATATTTATCGTCCTTACTTGACGCAATGAGTACAAGAATGATGATAATTTATATGGGTTTATTGTTTATGCATAGTGGAATATGAATATTCCCAGCATCGCTCTGAGTGGCTTGATTAGATTGGCTTAGATACAGTTTACTTTAATTGCTATCGACACATTTAATATTATTTTTCTTTTGTTGTAATGTAAATAACAATTCGTACTAATTTTTTCACCTATAGAACTTACTTTGTAAGTACCCAATCCTAATTTGTGGGCCTTTCGGTGACATGTTTGATATAGAAACGTGTCTTCCACTAACGTCACTCCATAAAACGCTTAACTCCATATAATTTGCTCATTCGGATGGTAAATTATAACAGGATTAACTGCTTCGATGCGACTTTCACGGATCCACCATTCTTCAATTAAGTTTTCACAATTTTTACTTTTTTCCCAAATTTCAGGAGTGGCAATATCCAATATGGTTATCATAATATGTTTTGCATATCCCCCAAATATATTCAATTGGATTGAATTGGCAATGAAACCTAGAGCTAAGATTAATATTATTACTAAAATTAATATCAAACTCACCAGTCTTCCGGGTTGAACCGCGTCGATATCCATTTTGCCGAGCTTTCGGCATCCTCTCTGATACCTTCCTCAGGGTTTCCGAGGTCTCAGTCTCTCGAGCCCCCAGACACTACTACACTGTTCACTGATCACTGCGCTGTCACTACTACGGCTGGGAACAGGAGACGGTTCATTTATACCGTCGATGATGGCGTGGCCTAGGTGGAGGTTGGCGCGAGAGTTGGCCTGGGTTAGCGCGGAGTTGGCGCGAACATTTCCGACTGTGGAATTTTGATTCGAGGATGGAGAGGGCGATATTTTCTTTATGAGAGGTCTCCATGTAGAAGGTAACCGTATGGCGTCATCTCTTTTATTAAGACAATTTGGCCTTTTTTCTATTTCTATGGCTTCTCGGATAATTCTTGGTTTATAGAAGCGGATGGGGGCTATGGTTCTGGAGTTTTCAAAATCAATTTTATGACCTGTATGAAGATGGTGTTGACCGAGAGCTGAAATTGAATCAGAATTGCGAACAGAAATGGAATGTTCATAAATCCTATTTTGGATTCTACGATTTGTTTGGTCTATATAGGATCGGGGACCATATATATATATACGTTAACCATTCTTTTATTTTATCTACGGTCCAGGTGTTTGTTGATTGCTTATTTAAAATTTCCGAATGGTACGCAGCATTATCCAGTACTATAACGGATGGTTCATGTAAACTTGGCAACAGTTTTTCTTTCAACCATTTCACAAACATCTCGGTATTCATATTGTCATGATAATCGGCTGATTTCGATTTTAATGAAAATACAAGATTTGCTCCCTCAATAAAACCATGTTTTCCACCTGCATGCACTATAGTATATCTCTTTCTCTGGTTATCGATGTGTTTTATGGATTTTAGACTCTCGTCCTGCTAAATTAGTTTGAGACCGCCTTTAGCAAAAATCCATGTTTCATCTAAATAAACGAAGGAAAAAACATTATTTTTTTTAATATTAGTTATCTTCTTCTTTATGTGCCGTCTTCTACCGAAGGTTGGCGACCATCATACGATAGGTTTCTCTGTTTTGTGCCGCATGAATTATGTTCGCAGCTTCTGGTATTTGAAACCATTCTCTCAAGTTTCTCAGCCAGGATTTCTTCTTTCTGCCCAAACCTCTTCTACCTTCAATCTTGCCTTCCACGATAAGCTGTAGCAGACTGTACTTATCATTACGGAACACATGGCCCAGGTATGACGCTTTCCTCCTTTTAACAGTTGTTAACAATTCCACCTCTTTACCCATTCGTCTTAATACCTCTGTGTTGGTCACTCTGTCTGTCCAAGGTATTCTCAGTATTCGTCGATACAGCCACATTTCTAGAGCCGCTAACTTCTTTATAGTTGCTGCTGTTAACGTCCACCCTTCTACGCCGTAAAGTAGCGTAGAGAGTACGTAGCATTTCGTGGCGCGCCATCGGAGGTTAATGCTTAGGTTGCGGTTGGTTAAAAGCTTTCTCATTTTGATGAATTTGGATCTTGCTATTTCAATTCGGATCTTAATCTCTACTTCTGGGTCCCACTTGTCATTTACTGTATATCCCAGATATTTAAATCGGTGTACTCTTTCAATACGTTCGTCTTCAATATGCAGGTCGATATGTTGAAATTTTTTTTTACTGATCACCATAAATTTAGTTTTCTTTCTATTGATCTTCAGTCCAAATCGGCTGCCAGTTGTATTAACTCTATGTAGCATCATCTGTAAATCTTCGATGTTATCGGCCAGTATAATAGTATCATCTGCATATCGAAAATTACTTATTGGTACGCCATTAATCTTGATGCCCTCATTGTACTCTTCTAGTGCCTCTAGAAATATTTGTTCCGTGTACAGGTTGAAAAGCAGTGGCGAAAGAATACAGCCCTGTCTTACCCTCTAGAAATGGTTATGTTTTCACTCACCATATGTCCATTCTTCATGTGAGCTGTTTGATTCCAATATAGATTTTTTATAATCTGGATGTCCTTAGTGTCAAGTCCTGAAAGACGTAATAGTTCTATGAGTTTGTCATGTTTGATAGTATCGAATGCTTTCTCATAGTCGATAAAACAGACGTAAACATCTTTCTGTTGATCCAGGCATTTTTGAATCAAAACTTGTATTGCAAAGAGGGGTTCTCGAGTTCCAAAACCGCATCTAAAACCGATTATTTTATATATTATTAAAATTAGTTATAATTTCTTAAAAATTCTATTGTTATGTAAACGACACCAACTCTTTCACACAAAGCCTTTCTATTGTTTTCCTTTTTGAACTTAATTCTATCTGTCTTAAAACTCTCCAGAAACTTGTTCTGGAAATTTCAAATATATTTCTGTCTTTTAATTTTTATAGCACTGAATCTAAAGAAACATGTTCTTTCTTTTCGCGTATTTTATATATTGCGTCACTGATTTCAAATTTGCAACCTTCGGGAAGATCTATGGTCTTTGGTTGCCGGCGAGATTTATATTTTGCGACGTTTTATTCACTTTGTCCACTTTTTTCTTGCTTTTTGCAAAACCGACTTTAGTTTTGTTTCACTAATACAGAGACACACTGTACCGGGTGGTCCAAGAAAGCGATCTTTCGGCTATATATCAGAAACTATTCATGTTATAACTTTAGGAGAAAATTTCCGTACTAAAAGTGATCAAGAGAAATCGCTGGAAATAATTTTCAAGTTTTTGGGTTAACCGCTAGGGGGCGTAACCTGTGAAAGAAAACTTTGAAAACAAGTTTTTTGGTAAATGTGCCAATTATACCAAGTGTTAAATAAGTAAACTAGAAAGAGGCCTATATTCCGCACAAAGTTCAAGTACCTTTTTTTTTATTTTTTCAAGTAAAAGTGGGGAAGAGTGGGAAATTATTTGTGGATAAATACTTATAACTTTGGTTTGGATCAACCGATTTTAACGAAATTAGTGTCATTAGAAAGAGTGTGGATAATTTAATTTTTATCTACTATAAAACAATTATAGTTTCACAAGATAAATCGTGCATAAGTATTTTTAAGAAACTGATAAAAGGATAAAAGCTCCGTGTTGCCGTTGAGGAAGGGAACTTGGAAAACAAGGGAATTCCAAGTTTCTGACCTAAACGTTCACTTTATAATATGAAAAATCTTCGGTCAACTACTACGTCGTTTTAAAACAAGGATGATGAAAACTACCAGTTTCTCTTAATCTTCTTGCCTTTCTTTCAAATACTTTTTTGTCATAATGTCTCCTGTCAGGATATCTTACAGAATATATACATGAGGTAATAGCGGCAATTTGGTGACATTCGAAATAAACTCCAATCATATCATACAATTTTTGCATTTGACATTACATTACAAATTATTAGTTCTGATAATTAATTACTGATATTACCAATATTAATATGTATTGAAACAAGTGCAATCTTCAATTCGAATTATATATATAACACTTTTTAATACTGTTTTGACTGCTCTCAATAAATAAACAATATGAACTTCCCGTCAAATTCATTGTCGTAGCCTACTTAGTTTTGAAAAAACTATTTTTAATCATATGAAATAACAATTGTCAAAATAGTTATCAACATTAAGATTCTTCTGCTATGAAAAAATTTGAAAGTTTTAATTTATAATACAGGGTGAGTCAATACTATACTTATTTATGTTTATGCGTTTTTATTCATATCTCGAGTTCGGCAAAAGCTATTAACATTCGGTTTGCGCCACTTTGTTACGAATTTAATTCAGTTTCATTATAATTTACAATAAATAGGTTTTTTCATTAAACATTTGGAAGAAAAACAAATTTAAATTTTTTCTATTCGAAAGTACCCTCTACCTATGACAATTAAAACTAAATGCAATTATTTTATAGTAGATGTAAAATTAATGCAAACCAAAGTTATAGGTATTTATCCACAAATACTTTCCTACTCTCCCCCACCCTTTATTTGAAAAAATAAAAAAAGTACTTGAACAACTTTGTGCAGAATTTTAGGCCTCTTTCTAGTTTACTTATTTAACACTTGGTATAATTGGGCATATTTCCAAAAAAACTGATTTTCAAAGTTTCTTTCTCAGCAGTTAAATAAGAAAGTACATTAAATATAAAGTTGTATACATCTAAAACACGTCTCGGCATTTTTTACTTCAATAAACAAATACACTACTCTAAACTCTCTTAACGGACACCTCCCTTCATCCGACAAATCTATACTGACGGTTTTTAAAACTAAAATCAGTCGGCGACATATGAAACTGTATGTAAATTTTCGTTACTTTTCAATATCTGTAACGATTCGGTATCAATAGCTGGTATGTTATACCCGTTACTTTCGGAACTTTTAAGAGTACATCCACTAAAAGCAAACAAATATATGGGCTCTTGGTATTTTATCCTTGCTTAGATCAAGTTACGAAATTAAGGTTGCAAAAAATTCAAAATAATTGTTGCAGATTTGTCTTTGGCTTAAGAAAATATGATCGTGTATCATGCAAAATAAAAGAACTTCAATGGTTAACCATAGATAATTTATACAAATATCACCTCGCCTCATCTATATCGAATTATTTCGTCGTCAAATCCTATTTATTTAAGGAACAAATTAGTATTTCGTGGAGATGCTGATAATCTGGATTTGAGATATCCTCATAGTCTTATGCTGCCTAGGTATAGACTAGCTATTTTCCAGCGATCGTTTACTTATAATGCTGTTTTAGTGTTTAATAGTTTACCAATAAATTTAAGAGGTAAATCTCTTGATTTCATGAAGCGGCATTATAAGAAATTTTTACTACAATCGCAGTAACGTTATTATTATTATTATTATTATATAGTATATTGTTGTCGTTATTGTTACTATTAGATATTTTTGTTTTTGTTTATCTTTTATATCATATCATATATCAAACAACATCACAAATTATTTTTATTTAATTATTTTTTTAATTATTTTTTTTTAATTATTTTTTTTTATATATTATTTTTCTAGTAACCACATGACTATTTTTTAACTTTCAACTTTTTTCATTTTCAAATTATTTTAAACTAATTTTGTAAACTTGAGGTTAAGTGGAGTAGCTCTAGCTAGACTTCGCCTCATGTACCTAGTGTTTGTAAAATTTTACAGACTAAATAAAGGCAATTTATTATTATTATTATTATATAAAACTAACAAAGTTAAATATTACATTCTTTTTCTGGTATCTGTACCATCGTTCAACCAATTTCTATTCATTTGTATTAAAAATAGTATATTTCTTTTTATTACATGTGTAGTACCCAATAAAGTAATAAAATAGTGTAATATCAAAGAAACCCGGCACGCCTCTTTGGTGTTTACATTTCACCGAAACCCATTCCAAATGTAGGAGCGTTTGCGTAAAAATTTTTGTTATTTTCGGATTAAATTTCACAATAAATTTTGCGTCTATCTGAACATCTATTAACTGAAATAATTTTACTTTAGATATCATACCATAGAGCAATTTACTTTCATACTTCTACTTGCACAGTAAAATATTCGTTGCCGCAATAATCCAAAACAGTCTTATATTCGTAGAATAACCTATACAGCTTTTTTTATTGTTACACAGGTCTCCTCAGCTTGCTACGAGATCCACGACATATTTTTTAACCTACCTATATCAGAAAAGATGGCGATTATAGCTACTGACAGAAAGCGATTATTAGAGAAAGCTAGAAGACCGTCTTCCGCACCCGACATTCAACGATCGTTATCTAACTCTAGCAGGTCTTCGACCAAGAGCTTCCATTCTCAGACTTTGATGAAGACTTGACGAAAATCAAAACTGCCTTTAGGTGCTACTACTAGAGTCGGCTTTATTGACTCTGTAGTGTTTGTTGTACGTTGAACTGTTTTGATGACGATCTCAAATTTATCAGAAAGCAAGAGGTTCGAAATCTCAACTGCAAGTTCATTCAACGCCTGCAAATACTAGAAAAAACGACGAATCAACGTTTTGTTGAGAAAATTATAGTCTGAATTTATTTTTTTGTGCCTTTTCTTCATCAAAATATATCCATATTTAACAGCGATCTATACAGATCAGTTAATAATACTTTATTAATAATTGATGGATTCGACCGTTACTTGATGGAAATTCATTTTATGTAACAATAAAACACTAAAAACTTTGTTTTCAAACTTCCACAAAATTTATTTTAACTATTATCACTACAGCTGTTTCGGCTGATTGTATTTCTCAAGTGCTCTGTTTTTGGCATGCGTTTACAATTTATAGTCTCTAATGAAACAGGTTGAGGAGAGAGAACTGTTTGTCTCAAGTTGGTCATTCAGAATTATATCTGTGTTTTTTAATTTGTTTATTTCCATAGATTCTAACAAAGATAGCTCAAGGCCTTTATTTTGAATGTGAAGTATTTTAAATTTATCATTAAAAGAATGATTATGATCTAGAAGGTGAAGTGCGTATGTCGAATCTGTTTTTCTATTATTGAAAGCCCTTTTATGTTCTGCTATTCGTTTATTAAAGTTTCTACCAGTTTGACCGATGTAAGTTTTTGGGCAGTCGCCACATTGAAGTTTGTACACACCACTGTTTAAGTGTTTTTTATTTTGGCTCTTGTTATTTTTAATATATTTGCCTAGGTTGTTTTAATATATTTGCCTAGCTTTCCGAACAAATAACAACCTAGGCAAATATATTAAAAATAACAAGAGCCAAAATAAAAAACACTTAAACAGTGGTGTGTACAAACTTTAATGTGGCGACTGCCCAAAAACTTACATCGGTCAAACTGGTAGCAACTTTAATAAACGAATAGCAGAACATAAAAGGGCTTTCAATAATAGAAAAACAGATTCGACATACGCACTTCACCTTCTAGATCATAATCATTTTTTTAATGATAAATTTAAAATACTTCACATTCAAAATAAAGGCCTTAAGCTATCTTTGTTAGAATCTATGGAAATAAACAAATTAAAAAACACAGATATAATTCTGAATGACCAACTTGAGACAAACAGTTCTCCCCTCCTCAACCTATTTCATTAGAGACTATAAATTGTAAACGCATGCCAAAAATAGATCACTTGAGAAAGGCAATCAGCCGAAACAGCTGTAGTGATAATAGTTAAAATAAATTTTGTGGAAGTTTGAAAACAAAGTTTTCAGTGTTTTATTGTTACAATACTTTATTACTGTATTTGTGGGCGTAGAATATAGTGGTAGCTTTTGCACTTAATTCATACTAAAATTTAATGTTTTTAAAGCATTCCTAACGAAACATTCGACAATTTTGTCAAGCATATACCAAATATATCATTTTGTTGATGTAGTTTATATAAAAAATAATTTTTGCGTACTGACTTAACGACTTAGCCATCAATGACAATCTATTTTGTTACTTCCATCGTTTTTAGAGTAACCAATAAAAATTATGTTTTATTATATTTGTTTTATTGTCAATCCTTTATACCTAACAAAACTATAAGAATACGCAGCAATTAAATAACAGCCTGAAGTTTTAACACGCCAACAGGAGAAACAGAATGCATAGAACTAAAAGGAGGAATCTGTCAAGAAGACTCGCTCAGCCCATGGTTATTCAATATGGTGATGGAAAAGTAACTGTAATTTTAAATGCAAAGATTGGTGAAGGTGAACAGGAAGATATCATAGGAAAATATGGTCTGGGAATACGAAATAAAAGAGGAGATATGTTGGCATCTTTTTGCGTAGAAAAGCAATTAGTAATAACAAACACAATTTTCAAACTTCCAAAACGTCGTCTTTACACCTGGAAATCACCAGCAGATACACCTGAACGAGTTGTTCGTAACCAAATAGACTTCATATGTATAAATAAGAGATACAGAAATTCAGTATTAGCAGTAAAAACATATCCAGGCGCAGATGTACCAACAGATCACAATATTTTAGTAGGAAAAATAAGACAGATTAAAAAGAGTTGCAAGGACGAATACGCAAACAGTTACTATTGATAGAGAAACTATGTTAAATGATACTGTAAAACAAGAAATAACTAGTATATTAGAACAAAAAATGAAGTTAACATCAAGCAAAGAAGAAAGTACTGAGGAAAAAACTGGACGAGAATTAAAGACTGTTCAAGAAACAAAATTGAGTGCGCTAAAAGCAAGAAAAAACAAGGGTGGATGACAGAAGAAATACTGAGATTTGTGGATCAAAGAAGAGAAGTCAGAAATAAAGATAAAAACGAATACAAGAGGATTCACGCAGTAATCAGGCAGAAGATCAGACTCGCGAAAACACAATTTCATAGTAAAGAATGTAATGAAATTGAACAATATGAAAAGAAACACGATACATTTCATCTCCACCAGAAATTAAAAGAGGTCGCTGGAAACAAACGGAAGCAAGTATCCCAAAGTTTAGAAGACAGAAACGGATACAGAATATTAGACATCAATGAACAGTTAAAAGAATGGGAAAACTACATTTCTGAATTATTCGAAGATGAGAGAGTAGAACACTATACACCGATTGCTATATCAGGTCCATCTATAACGGAAAGTGAGGTTACACGTTCAATACAAACGGCAAAAAATGGAAAAGCACTTGGCCCCGATGAAGTAAGTGCTGAAATACTAAAGTTTTTGGGAGAAATTGGAATTAAAGCTCTGTGTAATCTCTTTAACAGAATTTATGACACTGGGATATTACCAACTGATTGGTTAAAGTCGACATTTATCAAATACCTAAGAAACATCGTCCAAAGACATGCGGTGATTATCGGACAATAAATCTGATGAGTCACGTTTTGAAGATCTTCCTGCGAGTAATACACAGCAGAATTTACACGCTGTTAGAGGACAGAATTAGCAATACTCAATTTGGGTTTAGGAATGGCTTGGGTACAAGAGAAGCCTTGTTTAGGTGCTAGTACAGAGATGCAGAGATATAAATCAAAATGTGTACATTTGTGCAATCGATTTTGAAAAGGCTTTTGACAAAGTTTGACAACAAAATGCTAAAAATTTTGGAAACAGCTGGATTGGACAATAAAGATCTACGAATAATTACAAATCTATACTGGCATCAAGTGGCAAGAATAAAGGTATAAAACAGAACTGTCGGGTGAAATAAATATAAAAAGAGGAGTGAGACAAGGCTGTATATTGTCGCATTTACTTTTTAACTTATATTCGGAGGAAATATTTAAGGAAGCTCTTAATGGAGACAACCGAAGGTATTATTGTGAATGGAGTAACCGTCAACAATATTAGATATGCCGACGATGCCTTAGTGCTTGCTAATTGCGGAGAAGACCTTCAAAATCTAATGAACAAAATAAAACAGACTTGTGATCAGTATGGATTTAAACTCAACGTTAAGAAAACTAAATATATGATAGTTAGTAAATAAAATTATAGAAAGGATGACGGTATAAAAGCCGGAGATGCCACACTGGACAGAGTAGAGAAACTCGTGTACCTGGGTGAGCTGGGATCCAACCGCAGAAATTAAAAGCCGAATAGAACAAGCCCGAGCTGCTTGTGTAAAAATGAGAAACGTACTTTGCAGTCACGATCTTAGCATTGACCTTAGAGTTCGAATAACATCTTGCTACATCTCTCCTGTCCTACTGTATAGAGTGGAAGCGTGGACTCTAACTGATGCTATCCTTAAACGCTTGACAGCCTTTGAGATGTGTATACAGACGACTACTGAAAATAAGCTGGGTTGACAGAGTTAGAAATGAGGAGGTCCTTAGACAGCTGAGCCAAACAACACAACTGGTGAATATAATAAAGAAACGCAAGCTGGAATACTCCGTCACATTATGAGACTTCCTGAACAATATGATCTTTTACATCTGATCATTCAGGAAAAGATCCAAGGTAATCGTGGTCCTGGTAGAAGAAGAACATCATGGCTGAAAAATTTAAGGCAATGGTATAGAAAATCAAGTACATCGTTATTTAGAGCTGCTGTCAATAAAGTCACGATCGCGAATATGGTAGCCAACATGATATCCAACGATCGATAACGGTCATGGAACTAGAAGTAGAAGATGTTGATGAATCAAATAATTCACGAAGTAAGAAAACGACACGGATACCAGATGGCGCATAAAATCACGATACTAATACTATGCTATGCCGATGATATCACACCTTCAATATCACAGCAAACAAACTTAATATGAGAATATCAGTAGAGAAAACTAAATGTATAGTGATCAGTAAAGAGCCGCGTAGATGCAAACTAGAAATAGACGGCAAAATTGTAGAACAAGTAATGAAATTCAGTTACGATAAGTGGACTGTGATCTGAGGCCACATCTGATCCAGGATATGCTTTCACACGGCTTTAAGAAAAGAAACAGACTACATCAAAGGTAACGTAAACGAAATAAATTTTACTTATATAAACTCTTATGTCGGTTAATACATTTGTCCACATTTGTTGAAATAAACATACCCATCATAAATATGTAATAAAAACTTCGAACATTTGATTTTTTTTTTATTAAAACAAAATACATAGTATTCATGTAAATTTCATAAGTATAACAGTACAAATTTTAAAAAACTATTTCGAAAATCTCTGAATAATTTACTGGTTTGGAGATCCTAAGCGACTCCTTCTAGAGATCAACACCACCAAAGTGGCAAATCTCACTAGATTCGTTACTTCGTCGCCGATTCGGGTTCTTTATGTTTTTCCAGCTGCCAGGGCTTGTACGATTGCGTAAATACAACTGTAGCTTCCTACTACGAGACCTATCAAACCTACAAGAAATATGATTGAATTAAATTAATGTATTAAAATTAATTTAAAAAGTAACAAAATACAAATCGTTGGTAAAAGCACAGAATAATAAACAATCAGAAGGGCCACTCTCAGATACCGCCTTTGAAGTTTTTCAGCAAGCGCGCCATGTTTTAGGACACAAACATATAATTTGTGAGGTTATGCAATTGTGTCAATCATTGAGTTAGTATGGATTTTCAGTATATACTAACTCAATGGTGTTAATATAATTGTATAGTATGTCTATGATTGCCGTAAGTTAAATAAACCTGGTTTTTTTTTCCATGCACACCACATAAACAACACTGGTTCCCTTTAAAATCCTCGTAAAACATGGCGGAACGTCTGGGTGACGTCTGTGCGAAGGAGATGCGCGTACTTAATTTTCCGTGGAGAGTGGGCATTCTGTTTGTTTATTATTCTGTGGTAAAAGTGCAAGACCTCGTATTTACAATTTTGACAGAATTCATTTTACCATGTTACTTAGAACAGTGCTTGCCTGCGCATATACAGGGTGGTGAATCGTCAAACGGGCCATAGAAAACTCAATGCGAAATTCTAAATTGTTGAATTCCTGCTTCCCTAATTATTTTACACCAAAAGTCATGGGAAACTATTTGTAGAGGACTCAAATATGTATCGAAAACAACTGTTAAAATTGATCTACAATTTAAACGTATGCCAAAATTATGCTAAAATATAATACATTTTTTAGGTCACCCCTAAAAGTCAGGCCATACGCCGTGAGAAGATGTGTATTACGTGTTGCGTTTTGTCATATTGATGTTTCTGATATTTGACAATATTTAAATCAACTATATTATATTTATCTATGATTTAAATGGCCAAAATGTTTATTTTGTGATTTACTGTTTAAAAAAAATTAAGTTGATTAAAAACTGTACTCAGTTGAGGAGCAAAGAGCAATAATAAAAATGTTTTATTCATGTTTTATTATAACATTTGTTACAGTTTTATGTTTAGAAATTATCATAAATTATTTTTAGGAATAAAGATCACAGTAACAGTATATTGAAATTCATTGAATTGTTAACATGGAATTAAATTTTAGTGTATTAGAATATCTTACGTTAAATAAAGATCCGGTAGCGGCAGGAAAAAGTTCGCGCTATTGCCTGAATACAACATTATTCGATTTTTCGTCAACTGAGTACATTTCATTATATAGATCGATTTGTAAACAATATAATTTATTGTTCACAAAGTAATATTTGTTGTTCAGTAGTAGTAGTATTTAGTAAAATGCATTGTTTATAATTTAATCATAAAATAAAAAAAATTGACAATTCATCAAATTGTCAAACATCTGACATCAATATGATCATGAATATGATAAAACACACACGTCATAATATATATTCTTGCCCTACGTGTGGCCTAACTTGTAGGGGTGGCCTGAAAAATGTATTATATTTTTGCAAAATTTTGAAGTACATTTGATTCGTAGAACGGTTTTAACATTTATTTTTAATTCAGATTTTAGTCCTCTACAAATAGTTTTTTATGACTTGTGATATAAAATAATTAGGGAAGCAGCAATTTAACAATTTAAAATTTCCCATTGAGTTTCCTATGGCCCGTTTGACGATTCACCACCCGGTATGCACAAAACGTATGTCTAAGTTATTTCGATCTTATTTTTTGACTATATGCAATATCTTGTATTTTAGTTGAGTAGTTTCTTTGCCGTACAAAACCGCGTATAAGGCGGCCACTTGCAATTACGAGGTTTTGTTCGTCAGAAATGTCATAAAGTGCCCTGAATGTTTTCCTTCTGTTTTTTTTGGCAATTTTTTCGTGATTTTTCTTAGTTTTGTAGTCTATCGAAAGTAAAAACTGGTAAATGGTCAAAGACCAGATATTATTCAAGGTAAGTTTTGTAAGTAGTTTATTTTTGTTCTGAAGCTATTTTCTTGTGGCATTGTAAATTAATTACTATTAAACTGGGAATAAGCCACAATTAAAGATAAAAATACGTTTATTGACGTTTCAATTTCCACTTCGGAAATCGTTCTCGATTTCGAGAATATTGGAAAGATGCCAATCAAAAATCTTAAGAGCAACTGTTGATGCACCCTGGTACGTAACCAACCAAAGAATCTATGAGGATCTCAATATCTCAACAGTGAAAGAAGTATACCAGCAAAAGAAATTACAATAAATTCAAAAAGTGAACACACAGTTCAATCCATTAATTTCCGCAATACCTCAACATCGAGTTATCAGAAGATTAAAGCGACGTTGGCCAACAGACCAGTAACATGGACCCGTGATTCTCTCACTGGAGGGGACCACATCACGCCAGCACCAACGGACAAGACCTAAACATTGTTTTATTCTGATTGTTAATTAATTAGTTATAATAAAACAAAATTGTATGAGACGAAACTCATTTTATATAATAATACTATTCAGGATGTATTTTAATCAAAAGTCCAATCCAGTCACTTTTTAATAATTGTAATATTAATACGATGTTTATATTTTTTTTTCAGATTTTGCAAATACGAGGATTGACGTGATCAATCAAAATGGTGCGGAAACAGAGGTGGATATTATAGATGACAAAGATCCAGATTTTGTTTTGTCAACATTAAATGTAGATGAATGGATAGTTAAAGACTGTGCTAGAAAAGATAGTGGAATGAATGTGCCTGAAGTAAACGTTCGGGGAGCTGGTAGAACTAGGAGGAGTACAGATGAATTAAGACGCACACTTCAAAAGTTGTTGTTGTAGAAATTTCTAAAATGGAGTCTTGTTACTGCCGGGCTAGTAAAAATAAGTTGTATTCCGAGATAAAGCTGAATTTTATAGAGAGTACAAAAAACTACTGTCAAAATATAAATACAAATTGTCTTTCTAAAACAATTTTTTTTAGAAGAAATGAACAAATCTAACATAAAAATCTACAAGCCACGAAAAGACCAATGCGATTTGTGTATTTCCCACGGATTTTTAAAATATTTCAGATTAAGAGTATATGAAACATCAAGAAAAAAAAAAAGAACAAGCAAGGCGTTTGAAAATGGAAGATAAAGAGAAAGCTATTAGCCACCCCAAAGAAATCGCGGCTTTTTGTATAGAAGTACAAGCTGTAAAGTTGTCTCCTGTGTTGCAAGCCAGTGCCATCTATTATAAGACAAAACTTTGTGTTCATAATTATACTATCTACAATATGGCTACTAAAGATGTAATCTGTTATTAGATCTCCCTAATAATTTTCCAGAGGCACAAAATCTGTTTCGATTTTGTGCCTCTTGCATAAAGCAAATGGAATTGACCAAATACCAATACAACTAAAAATATATCGTACAAAATTTCACTCTAATACCATACCTATAAGAATGAGTACTATATCCTTCCAAAAGATGAAATTTCCACGACCCAGTCTATCTGGCCAAAAAGCTGACATCTCTATAATGGCTGGAAAGGCTATTCCTAGAGCAGATAAGCAGAATGCTCCAACCAACGAGATAAACAGTCCAAGGAGTGGTACTGAGATTGCTAAAATAACTGAAAACAAAAAAGTTGATTAATATAAGTAGGTATGCTGCAAAATCCAATTCTTGTCCCTTGTCACAGCCATTTGATAATTATTTTGTTTGTATTACCGCTTTAAATGCTGAAGTTAAAAATCTCTTATTAAAATTCAAAGAAAGCTTTAGCTATAAAACCTTTTTAAATCATAACAATCTTTCCACTTGTCGGCAATAATTTTTATATTTTATCGCCATCACTTCAAATTATTTTCTTTATTTTAACGCGTAAGTGGTGTAATAAAAATTGATGAGGTTCTCACAGTTGACTAAGAATCTGAGCGCTGAACGGTCGGTATCCGTGGCGTAGTATTTTTTAATTTTGTGTATGTATAGATTGATGCTTATAAGTGATAATTTTGTTACACCATTTTTTAAAAGCACGCGATATGTTTTGTTGGAAACTGGCAAATATAGATTTTCAATAATTTTTGAAGTTTAATTTTGCAATATACGAACCGTGTATTTTATACGCAAATTCGGGTAGAATTGCGTTGGTACACACTTGACATATTTGGCGACCGTGACAGGACTGTTTCCATAAAATTAATCGTGGTTGTATACGAGGTGTAACAAAATTGAATTGACGATCACCGGACAAACTTTATCGCGTTTCGCCTGTAACTTTCGGTAAACGTGTGTGGTTTTGACCAAGTTTGCAGAGAAAAATGGATCAAAAGAAGAAACATCGCAAAGTGCTCCGTAGCACCTTCACGAGGACGGCGAATGAAATGGATAAGCTTTTGTCGGCGCCGGAGGGTGAGATACGATCAATTAAAGTTTCCTTGGATCTATTACGCCAAAAATTGAAGACCTAAGGAAAAGTGATGAAGAAATCTACGGTCTATTACTAAGTGAAGACGCTAGTGAAGAAGACCTTTTAGCAGAAATTGAGTGTAGTGACAACTATAGCAAGAAGTTTTTGGATCTCAGTATGCAGTTCGAAGACCGTATGCAGTCAATAGTGACAGGTGCAGTGGAAGGTGAGGTAGCTTCTAGGATATCTGATGATAGGAGTAGTTTAGACAGCAGACGCGGTAAGCGAAAATTTAAATTACCTACATTAGAGTTCAAAAAATTCGACGGGAATATTAAAAACTGGTTGCCTTTTTGGTCACAATTTCAAAAAGTTCATCATGATCCTGACATAGATCCGAACGACAAGGTCGAATATTTGATTCAAGCTACTATACCGGGTAGTAGAGCTAGGCAACTAGTGGATAGTTTTCCCGCCACTGGAAGTAATTATGATGCTATGATTGACTGTCTTATTTCGCGTTTCGGTCGGGATGACTTGCAGATCGAAGTTTATGTACGGGAATTACTTAAATTAGTAATAAATAATACTGCGTCTGGCAATAAATTTAGATCTATCCTCGTTATACGACAAATTAGAGACTCAGTTTAGGGTTCTGGAAACACTCGGTATTAAGTCGGATAAATACGCGGCTATGTTATTTCCTTTAGTTGAATCCTGTCTACCTTCAGATTTATTAAGAGTTTGGCAACGATTGCCAGAAAGTATCGGATCACAAGCGTCACTTAATTCTGCCGGCATCGCGAGCATCGAAAATCGACTTCAGAGTTTAATGTTGTTCTTGAAAAAGGAAGTTGATAATGAGCAGCACCTTTCTTTAGCAGTCGAGAATTTCCATTTGCATGCTGCTAAAACCGAAGATTTTAAATCTACAGGCCCAAAAACAAGGAGACACGAGGAAAACAAGCACAAGTCTCCTTCCGCGATGGGTTTAGTTAATTCTCACACTATCTATAAATGTGTTTTTTGTCAGAATTCGCATGAAAGCAGCCACTGTTTTAAAGCACAGAAATTAACTTATGACCAAAGGAAAAATATTTTGACAGAAAAAGGCGCGTGTTTTCGTTGTTTGAAAATTGGACATCAGTCTCGAAAATGTCGCAGTCGATTAAGTTGTTTAATTTGCTCTAAATTGCATGTACCTTTAATGTGCACTGAACTTTCAAGACACCGGGTAAAGCAGGATACAGAAGAGCAGAAAGAAAACGATGGAATTGCCGTGCCAAGAATTGAACAGACGCTCGCTAATAGTGCTAATACGAATGTTTTTTTGCAAACTCTGCGTATTGAAATAAACTATTTAGACAAGTCGCGAGTTGTACGTGCTCTTATAGATACCGGATCGCAAAAAACGTACATTTTGAAATCTACAGCTAAACTTTTGGGTTATCCTAGTAAACGACAGATTAATCTAGTACATGGATTGTTTGGAGGAAACCAATTAGCGCAAAAAACATGATTGCTATGATGTTAGAGTGTTTCATAACAATTATAGTTATACATTTGAGGCACTAGATCAAAACGTTATATGTAGCGACGTCTCTTCCATATTTAATGGTCCCTGGATAGAAGAACTTGGTATGTTTAATATAAAACTATCGGACTTGGGTGATGCGTCTCCTATAGAGATTTTAATAGGTGCTGATATTGCTGGAAAACTCTATACTGGGAGGAGGCACATATTGGAAAGTGGATTGGTAGCTGTAGAAACATTATTAGGTTGGACTTTAATGGGCAAGATACCTTTAGGTCAACGGGACAATAATACCACATCGGTTGTATCACTTTTTGTTAAAAATGCTTCAGTTAGTAATCTTTGGGAGCTAGACGTTTTGGGCATTGGTGATCCAACTGAAAGGAAGTCAAGTGAAGAAACTGCGCTAGCAGCCAGAAAACTTTTCTTTGAAACAGTGTCATCGGATTCTAGTGGACGATATGAAGTGAGACTTCCCATGGCTGGAAGGACATCCGGCATTGCCGAGCAACTACCAAATTGCAAAAAGGAGACTCGAGAGCACATTTAAGAAAATAACGAAAGACGGATATCTTGAAGCCTACGACCAAATATTTAAGGATTGGTTGGACGAAGGTATAATTGAAGAAATATCCGAGGAGCAGCCTAGCCAAGAATGTCATTATTTACCCCATAGACCGATAATTAAGCCAAATAGCTTATCTACAAAAATCAGACCGGTCTTTGATGCTTCGGCCAAAGAAAAACACAGACCTTCTTTAAATCAGTGTCTTGAAAAGGGGGTTAACCTGATTGAATTGATTCCAGCTATTTTGTTGAGATTTAGACAAAAGGAAATTGGTGTAATCTCCGATATTCGGAAAGCATTTTTGCAAATTGGCCTGCATAAAGCTGACAGGGATTTTCTTCGCTTTCTATGGATAGATAAAACTGGAAAAGAAAGGATTTACCGTCACTGTCGAGTTGTATTTGGAATAAGTAGTAGTCCATTTTTATTGGCAGCTACGCTGGACTATCATTTATCGCAGATGTTAGAAAAATGCTCTTCGGCACGGCTTAATGTTTCAGAAGACACAATTACAAATTTATCCAATAGTTTTTACGTTGATAATTGTGTTACCAGTGTAAGAAATGAGCAGGAATTGAGAACTTTTATAGAAGAGTCAAACATAATAATGAGTGAAGGCAAGTTTGACCTCAGAGGGTGGGAGTATACTGGCCAAATACAGGATGAAAACCTTGCAGCTTCAACTCAGGTGTTGGGAATAAAGTGGAATAAGAGTGACGACACTCTATTTCTGAATAAAGAGAATGGATATGCAGATCAACTCTTCGATAAACCCGTAACTAAAAGAGTGATACTCTCGCAAGCTCAGCAAGTGTTTGACCCTATTGGGTATACCTGTCCGGCAACGCTGACTCCAAAATTGTTATTACAAAAAACGTGGAACCAGCATCTGACTTGGGATGCGCCGGTTGATTCTACAATAGAAACGCAATTTCGGAATTGGGTCAAAGAGCTGCCGTATTTAGCAGCTATTAAAATTCCTCGGTGGATACATGCAGGGCCTAGAGAAGCTGAAGAATTTACTTTGCATACATTTTGTGACGCGAGCAAAGATGCATATTCAGCAGCGATATTTTTAAGAGGTGTCCGGAACGGACAAGTATTTGTTCATATTTTAGCAGCCAAATCAAGGGTGGCACCATTAAAGGCTTTATCAATACCCCGCCTTGAATTGATGGCTGCACTCATTGCCGTTCGATTATACACTACAGTTAGGGATAGTCTTGATATTGAATTGGACGAATATTTCTGGAGCGATTCAACAACCGTACTATCTTGGATAAAGAGAACGGAGGAATGGACTACATTCGTTTGGAATCGTGTGACAGAGATTCGCAGATCCTCAAGTACTGAAAAATGGCGTCACGTTCCTGGTAAATTAAATCCGGCTGACCTTCCTTCCAGAGGTTGCTCCGCTAAGCAACTGTTGGAATCCAAATGGTGGGAGGGTCCGAAATGGCTTCATCACGATTCAGCGTCTTGGCCTCGAGAAGATATTAACTGTGATGAAGAAGAAATAAATAAGGAGAAGAAAAGAAAACTAGTTACAGCTCTAATAAATAGGGGGCAAATTATTATGACCTCGAATGATTGGCACTTTGATTACTTCTCTCAATATTTGAAGACGTTGCGAATGTTCGCATGGATTCGTCGTTTTATTCATAATACAAAGAATAGGGACGATAAACGCGCGGGGGAGTTAACCTTAGAGGAAGTTGACAAAGCCGAAGTATTTGTGCTTAAAGTGATACAGCAAGAGTCATTTACGAACGAAAAAGACAATAGATTATCGGGAATGAACGCTTTTAAGGATGAGCATGGACTAATTCGCTTACAGTCGCGTATTAGTAATAGAAATGACCTAGGGTATTTTCGGTTTCCTATAGTTTTACCGGCAAAACATTTTTTAGTGAATAGGTTGTTATTCCGGGAACATGTTAAGTCGTGTCATATTGGAACTCAAGGACTCACGAGTATCGTGCGCGAACGATATTGGATTTTAGGTGGTCGACGGGCGATAAAATCAGCCATCATTAAGTGTGTCGTCTGCAAAAGGCATAATGCGAAGCCATTCGGGGCAAGTGCTCCGCCGTTACCAGTAGATCGCGTCCGGGACGCGGTAGCATTCGAAACGACGGGCGTAGATTTTGCGGGACCGCTTTACCTAGCCACCGGAGGAAAAGCATGGATATGTCTTTTTACGTGTGCCGTATATCGTGCTGTATATGTCGAACTTTGCACCTCGTTGTCAGTCGCCTGCTTCATGCAGGTTCTAAGACGTTTTATTGCCAGACGTGATCGTCCGAAGACTATATACAGTGATAATGGAACTAACTTTGTCGGAACTGAGAACGCGTTTTCTCGAGTAGACTTTCAAAAAATAGCTGAGAACAGTATTAATGAGCGGATCCAGTGGCGGTTTAACCACCCGACAGCTGCGTGGTGGGGTGGTTTTTGGGAAAGGCTCGTGGGCATGTTGAAGCAACTGTTGCGTAAAGTATTGGGACGTGCTTCACTGGATTATGAAAGCCTATTGACTGTCTTATGTGATTGTGAATCCATCATAAATTCTCGACCACTTACCTGTCCCACATCAGATACCACGGAGATGGTACCTTTAACACCACAGATGTTCCTTAGAGATCAGATAGAAGACGGTGTCCCCGATTGTGATGCAGTTGATGGTAGGTCTCTATCCAGAAAAATTCTGCACAGGCAAAGATTGTTAGAAGATCTTCGACGAAGATTTCGGAATGAATATCTAGGTCAGTTGAAATTATGGTCGAAAAAGAATTTTAAACACCAAGTCAAAGTAGGAGATGTAGTATTCGTAGGAAACGACCAGGACAAGCGTGTTAATTGGCCTCTTGGTCGTGTAACTGATACTATTCCCGGTAGAGATGGTCAAATTCGGCTTGTTAGGATTTCTACAGAAAGAGGTCAATTTTTAAGACCAATTCAGCGTATCTACCCCATGGAGTGCCCAGCAGATTTTTCTCAGACGCTAGGCAATGACCGAACGGATAACACGGGAGAGACCGAAGACAGAGGATCTCGTTTAAGTTTATGTGAAGGCGCGGAAGTGAGTGCCTCCGAAAACGACGCGGAAACGGGAGTGTCTGAAAGCAGAGTACCCGAAACGAAAAAAATTGTTACGCGAAGTGGGCGCAGCGTCAAAACTCCTGTGCGATACGCTAACGAGTAGATTTAGTTTTTGCTTAATTATATTTCGAATTTTGTCTGTTATGGTTTTATGTTATTTGCTGTAGTTTTGTTTACTTTTGTGCCAATATTAATATTGTGAGCCATGTTTACTTTTGTAAAATGCCTCAGGTGGGAGGATGTCACAGCCATTTGATAATTATTTTGTTTGTATACCGCTTTAAATGCTGAAGTTAAAAATCTCTTATTAAAATTCAAAGAAAGCTTTAGCTATAAAACCTTTTTAAATCATAACAATCTTTCCACTTGTCGGCAATAATTTTTATATTTTATCGCCATCACTTCAAATTATTTTCTTTATTTTAACGCGTAAGTGGTGTAATAAAAATTGATGAGGTTCTCACAGTTGACTAAGACTCTGAGCGCTGAACGGTCGGTATCCGTGGCGTAGTATTTTTTAATTTTGTGTATGTATAGATTGATGCTTATAAGTGATAATTTTGTTACATCATTTTTTAAAAGCACGCGATATGTTTTGTTGGGAAACTGGCAAATATAGATTTTCAATAATTTTGAAGTTTAATTTTGTAATATACGAACCGTGTATTTTATACGCAAATTCGGGTAGAATTGCGTTGGTACACACTTGACATCCCTGGTGCGCTTACAGCAGGTGCAAAAAGAGAAACCTAATCTAACCTAAAAAAAATACTTACAAGTTAGAAAAACGATTCCGAATCTAAGTATATATTCATAGATGAGCTTCTTCTTTTCCGAAGGATCTTCACCTAAATGAGGTAGAATGTAAGTCGTGAATGTGATTTGAGCAGCTGGGAAACCTTGTAGGCCGTAGGAAATGAAGATAGCGGTGGAATATAAGATTCTTATGACTTGTGCTAAGCTGAAAAATAAAAATTCTCGTTAAGAACTTACGAGATTGGTATGGATTGATACAAGCATGCTGTTTAGGGTGGCAGTGAATACAATATGAGAGCTATGATGGTAACCAAGTTTCTGAGAACACATGAAAGGTATAGGGGAAAAGGCAACTAAGTCAATAAACTATATTTTCCAGGAGAAAGAAAATAAAATTTGAAACGATGAAAATTCTGTGCTTTTTTACAGTTTTTAATAAATATTTTTATATATAATTGCGTGATTCGCTCGGCTTCTATAACCTCTCTTCAGCCATTTGGGGTTTCAGCCTTTGCACTTTTGGGGACCAATCCCATGTTTTTGACTGGTTCCATGAAGCAATGGCTGCGCACTGGGTAAGTAATTGTCACAGTGTCAAATCTTTTTAGTGTAGCAGTTACGTAGTGAAAGAACTGTATGATGGTGTGATTTTTGTTTTGTTTTCCGTAAGAGTCAGCAAACACATAAAGTTCTTTAACAACAGAATCCAGGTATGTGTTAACAACAGTAGCGCACCTAGAATTTTCCTCTGGGGGGAAGGGGTTTTGGTTGGGCACCGAAATTTTTTTATGCTACCTCCACCATTTTAAGTCCTTAAAAGTTGTAAATAACAGTGTCGGAATAGGGTCCTGGGGGGTTTTAACCCCCAAATCCCCCCCGGGTGCGCCACTGGGTGTTAAAAAAATGGTAGAGTAACGTCAGCTGCCTACAGTAAATTTACTAATGTTTGTATTTTAAAAACGCTTTCCGAAGTGGAAATTGAAACGTCAATAAACGTACTTTAACCTTTAATTGTGGCTTATTCCCATTTAAATAGTAATTACTTTAAAATGCCACAAAAAATAGCTGAAAATAAATATTAGGACCTAGAAACTTAGAAAATCACCAACTGGAAGCGATTGGAATAGCGGAAGATATCCAAACACGCAAAGATCCACAAAGGATTGTCGTTTATACTGATAATGATAGTAATGATAATAAAGAAGTTTGTATTTTTTTAACCTAATAAAGCAGTTGTAGAAATAATGATAGAAATAAGATATCTTCATATAAATATACTTACATATCTTCTGAAGGAAAATTCAACGTGATGCTAGGCTTGATACCATCCCCGTACCTCCAGTATCCCATCATAGCAAGAAATACGTAGACAAAGATTACCAAAACCATTCCAACGTTTAGAACACCAAAAGGTTTTAAGAAACTCTTCGGCGTGGCCATGTTGTTTTCCAGAGATATAACCTATAAAAGTCATCTTACTTTAATCATAAATTTGCTTGGAAGTTAATAAAATATATAGGTTAGACAGAAAAAGAGATAAATAGAAGTAAAATGAGGAATAAACAACATTACACAAGATAGATCTTATAGAAGTTCTAATCTAATGCAATTTTTTCTTTCCAAATTCGTGGGGTGCTTTTCGTATCTATAAAAAACATGATTTTAACATTCCTTGCTTCTTTTATATCCATTTGATGTGATTATACATCTTTTCAACCTAATAAAAACGACTTATTTGGCTTTATAAGTAAAGTTAATACTTTATGCTGAACAATTCTTATCGCTGTATTCTTGTTTAAGCAAGCTTAACCATGAATAAAGTTACATATCGCATAGAAGTATTTGATTTGCTTATATTATTATTAATGGGTACTTCGTTTTATAGGAATATCAGATAGAGTTGCAGTACTCCAAAATTAATGCTAAACCAGCTAACATGAACATTATTCAAGCATATGCCCCAACTTTGAAAAGCTCAAAGCAGGAAATAGAAATATTCTATGAACAATTGAAAGAATCCCTAAAACATACCAAAAAATAAGAAGTGAATATCCTGCTAGGAGATTTCAGCGCCAAAGTAGGCAAAGAAGGTGTTGGCAAAACTGTGAGACACTTTGGACTAGGAACGCGAAATGATAGAGGAGACCGCCTTATTCAGTTCTGCCAGGAAACGAATAGTGCGATAATGAACACCTTTTTCCAATTACCACCTCGAAGACACTACACCTGGAAATCTCCAGCTGACTGACAAAAAAAAAATGATTAGAATCCAAATTGACTACATCATCATCAACAAATGATTTCAGAATTCCGTAAAATCCGAAAAAACATATCTGGGAGCAGATATTCCATCAGACCATAATCTTTTTTACGAGGACGTTTCAAACTCCACATGAAAAAAGTCCATAAAAGAAAAGCACAAAAACGTCCGGACATCCAGAAGTTGAAAGATAAAATCACAAGAGACGAAGTCAAAGAGGAGATCAACAACAAAATAAACAGCATGCTAATCTCAGATATTAATCAAGAAAACATAAGTGTGGATAATATGTGAAATAAAATCAAAAATATCTGTAATTCAGTGGTAGATAATAAACTTAAACCAGAAAACAATATATAAGAAACAGCTGTGGACGAGACAAGAAATTGTTAAGGTGTGGATTTGGAAAATAAATAGTCGTACTTTATACTATTATAAAAGGCTTTATTTCCTATAACATACATACTAATTAACTAACCTAACTTAAGCCACCATACTTCTTACTACCACCTACAACTACATGATACTCATTGACATTACTATTATTGTCTGTCATGTCAACCCATGACACTATGGGTGCGTTCCGCTTACTCTTACACCAATATATCTGTGTATACAATATAAATGTATTACATTCTCAACACGCCTCCTTACATTTACATTGTATTTACATTAATTCAAATTTAACATACTTCGAAATTTTTCAAATTTATCTTGGCCCAAGGACTTCGTAAAAATATCTGCAATATTATCATCAGAATCTACTTTAACCACATTTATAACATTTGCTTTAACATAATCATTTACATAATGATAATGAATTTCAACATGCTTAGAATTTTTTGTAAAATTGCCATAATTAGCTATACTAATTGTACCAGTGTTATCTTCATAAACATCAATTGGCTTTATTATTTCAATATCAAATATTTTCAACATTCTTTTACAAATATCAATTCACTTACTGCTTCTGACAATGCTACATACTCTGCAAAAGTTGAAGCTTTTGTAACGCTTTTTTGTTTTCTAGATTTCCAATAAATTACATTACCAAACAATCTTATTACAAAACCAGTTGTAGACTTTCTATCTAAATGATCACCTGCCAATCGGCATCCACATAACAATCAATAATACTTACTTTTTCATTTCTGTTATAAAACAATTTTAAATCTTTAGTTAAGCATAAATATTTCAAAATTCGTACAGCATATTTAAAGTGCGTTTCATTATAGCAATTTTGAAATCTACTCAGATAATTTACGCTGAAACTTATATCAGGCCTTGTTGCCGAACTTATGTATAATAGTGCACCAATTAAATTTTTATATTTAATATTTCTTTCACAATGATCAGATTTATCAATTTTTAAATTTACTTCCATAGGTGTATTATACAGTTTACCTTTTTCTAAATTATTATTTTTTCCTTAATAATTCAATATATTTATTTTGATCCAATCTCATTTCATGTTTACTAGAATCATAATCAACAGTAATACCAAGATATTCTTTAATTTCACCAATATCTTTCATTTTAAATTTTTCTGATAATAAAATTTTAATCCTTTTAATTTCATTTAAATTTCTACCACAAATCAATAAATCATCGACATAAATTAATAAGTAAATAATATCATTTCCAATTTTATAAACGTACAAACAAGGATCAATATTACTTCTTTCAAAACCTAAATTTATCAAAAATGTATCTAGGCACTCATACCATGCCCTTGGACTTTCTTTTAAACCATATAAAGCTTTAACTAATTTACAAACTTTACTTGTTCCATCTTCATAACCCTTAGGTTGTTTAATATAAACTTCAGAAATTACTTTACCATTTAAAAAGGCTGTTTCAACATCCATTTGTTCAATTACTAGGCCCATTTGACAACAATATGACAATAAAATCTTTAATGTTTGCATTTTAGCCACAGGTGAATAAATATCATCAATTTCATCAGTTTGTTGAAAACCTCGTACAACCAATCTAGCTTTATAAGTATTATCAGACTTTTTAGTATAAACCCATTTAACATCCAGAATATTTTTGTTTGTATCATTTTTAACCAATTTCCAAGTTTTACTTTTATTTAAACTATCAATTTCTTTGTCCATAGCTGTTTTCCAATACTTACTTTCATTAGAATTTATCGCCTCCTCAAATGTATGTGGTATATCAGTTCTACACATATTTACAAAAATACTACTATTATATACATAGTAGTCATCAAATTTCTTTGGAGGATTTTTGGCTCTGTGAGATCTAGGTAACTCAGGTTCATTTTTATTCACACTATCATCCATACTTTCATTTGTACTTTCAAAAGTTTCATCTATTGAGTCATTTTCAGAGCTTTCATCAATTTTATCAGGGTAACACTCTTCATTATTATCATTATCTGATTCGTTAAAGTCTAAACCTATACACTTAACGTTTTCTTCAACAATATCCACGTGTCTAGCAACAATGACTCTGCCATTTAATAATACACGATAACCAACATTACTATAACCAATTAAAATTCCCATATCAGCTTTCTTATCCCATTTAGAGATTCTCTTCTGTTCTGGTCTTCGTACAAAAACTTTACTTCCATACAAACGCAAATTAGAAACATCAGGTTTCTGTCCAAAAAATATTTCATATGGAGTTTTCTTTTCAATTGTATCAGATAAAGTACGATTTTTCAAATAAACCGCAGCACAAACTATTTCAGGCCAATATTTTTTATGAATATCTGCTTCAGCCAACAAACATCTTGACATATCCATTATAGTTCGATTAAACCGTTCTGCAGTCCCATTCAATTCATGTACATATGTAGGACAATTATCAATTACTATACCCCTTTCTTTTGCAAATCTGTAGACTTTACTGTTCAAATATTCTTTCCCATTATCACATCTTAAAATCTTTATTTTCTTTCCAGTCAAATTTTCACTTTCATTCGTATATTCATTCAAACAATCACATACTTCTGCTTTTGATTTTATAGCATATACTTTAGAAATCTTACTATAATCATCAATGAAAGAAACAAAATAATTTTCACCTTTAAACCCAGTAGTTCGAAAAGGCCCACAAACATCAGTATGTACAATCTCTAAAATATCTTTAGCTTTTTTTCTACTGTTTACAAACGGAATATTATGCATTTTACTTTCAATACAAATCTTACATTTCATAAATTCAGATTCAAACTCATTAGGAATTCCATTCAACAGCTGATCTTTAGATAAAATATTCAAATATTTAAAATTTACATGACCTAATAAACGATGCCATTTTTCCTTTTGATTCATATTATTCATATCTTTATTTGCAACATTTACATGCAATTCAACTGATTTTAATTTACTTTTCATAATATATAAGCCATTATTTTTTAAAGCAACTGCTGTTATATTACCAAGTTTATCAAAAACTTTTGAAATATTACCTAGAGAAATAATCTTATTATTTTCTGTTATTTTGCTATAACTTATCAAATTTGATTTCATATCTTTAACATAGAAACATTTTGCATATCTACTAAACTCTTTTTACCAAAAGCATCAAAGTAACTTAAAACATTTCCAATTTTAGTAGCTTTTACAACCCTATTATCTCCTAAATAAACATTAATGGGATCTTTAAGTAATTTACATTTATCAAATAATTTTTCATCATTAATAATGTGGTCTGTACAACCACTATCTAAAAGCCATTTTATTTCAATACAATTATTTACATTACCTATTTCAGTATTTTGTGCAATAACTGACATATCCTTACCAAGAGCTACTGTTGTAAGCCAAGAAGCACTGTTTCGCTCTTCGTTCTTCTGTCCTTGTCGGTTGAACCGCTGTGCACTTGTTCCATGCGTTCCGCGCTGTCCACGTGAGTGGCCACGTCCTCTGGTCTTGTCGACCTCGCGTTTCTCTCCACCAGCCTCTACTGCTTGTCGTTTGTCCGCCATTACCCGACGCTTGATTGGCGCCATTTTTGCAATCTCGCTTGAAATGACCAACTTCGCCACACTGGAAGCATGATCGATCCTGTCGACCTTTATTTACCACAAATGTACTGGATTTTCTTCCAAAATCATTGTTTTGATTTTTTAATTCGGACATCATAACCTTAGTTTTTACGTAGTCTGCAGTTTGATCATCTTCTTTTAATGTATCTATTAAATCACCAATATAACTGTACGACT